TTATTAATATGTATCGACTTTTTCTGGGAATATTAACGAAAACTATATTTGACATTGATCCTTTTAATATGTTTTAGCAATGTGCGTGTATTTAATATTATCTTTACGTTATGCAAAATTGTACAAACAGTGGAAATTATAAATTAGCTCTATGCCGCTATATAAACAAACCCTACTCTAATACTTATAATAAGACACTGCGGTGCACTGAAAAGCACAGCATGGTGCGTAGCTTACTTTTATAGTCCCAAAATCTATAGCGATGACGGACGGAAGGACACGCTCAGCCCGATTATATTATAGATACTGCCTATTATTTATACTGTTTACTAATTATTATTCTATCTTTCGGTTTGAGGACAAGCTAGGGGTTTTATACGAGAGGCGTAGCGAGGGGAGGGCATATGTCCCCGGGTGCCGACCTTAGGGGGCGCCAAATTGGGTTGGAAAAAATTTGCGGAGAGGGGGGGGGGGGTGAAAATCGAAAGGTTTAGGGCGGGGGGGGGGGAACAGGGGTGCAAATCGAAAGTTTGAGGGGGGTGCAAATCACCGGAAAGGGCGCGATTTGGCGCTACGGGCTAGACTGTGAGCAATATGCCTTTATGATTGCATTAAAATTGTGTTTATGTTATGAGTGTTGTGTTTGTTTTTTTCGTTTTTTTTTTTTTTTTTTTTTTTTTTTTTGCGTTCGTTTGTGTTGTGTTTAGTTTTGTTCTGTTCCCAAGTTGGTACATTTAAAAAAGATTTACCGTGGCGGAGCACGGGATGCAGCTAGTGTCATTATAATTATCTTAATTTTGTTTTTAATCGAAGAATAGTATTGAAAATATATTCTCGAAAAATCAATCAATTTTACGTTTCGGTATGAATGGTGAATACTACACCAAAATTGAGTCTGTAGTTTTTCATCTTACTCGGAATCATTCTGCAAATCAAAGAATTCATCTTGTAATTCATCGGGAATGCTGGCAAAATCAAGGGAAGAAGAGAATGGGTAATGTGTAAATGCAGATTCTTCTTTTTTCAGCTCAGAGAAATAGCGATGCAGTTCGTCTTCAAGAGATTCAAGTTGCCCAGAAATCGCTTCTTTCAAAATTTTAATTATCTCACAGTCATATTCATCTACCACACCGCAGAGTTTCTCAAATGTACAATATTTCCAAGATTTATTTTCTTTACCGATTTTGCAGCTTTGATAAAAATGCCACGAGATTATCATGGAAAGTTATAATATTCGTTCATTTTTCATGAAGCTTCAGGTTAAGCGTATCTTGATGTTCGAATACATCTGCTAGGTATGATAATCTCTCCAACCACTCTATGTCGTTTCAAGTATACAAAAAAGGGCTTGTTTCCTTTGCACTTCCAAGAACAATTTGATTTTAGATTTCAATTCAAAAACACAATTTACAACATTTCGTTTGACAGCCAGCGTACTGTAGTGTAGAAGAACAGAACTTCGTGATCTATATTAATGTTTTTGCTCAGTTATTTGAAGGCTCCAGATTTTATATAATTTACGACTTATACTAGCAATGGACTCTTGATGTCGATTGGTTAGGGCAGTGGTTAGGGAGCTAAATCTTTTCTGTTTTCTGAAAGCCCGATTTTGAGCTAAACATAGATGGCGCACCATCCGTACAAACCCCCACAGCCGTTCTAACCCATTTTATTCATCCCGTTTAAAAAAAACGTGTTTATTTTCTCCATGCTATCTTTACAAAAGAGCAACTCTTCTTTGTTATCATCTGCATGAATATAGACACAGACCAGCAACTGCGAACACGAACTCACGTCTGTTGATTTATCAACTTGAAAAGCAAACAATGGTGAAAGCTTAATTTCAATAAAAATGTGTTATTTAACATTTACGTACATGCAGCGTTTGATGAGATTTTCTCCTATTTTTTTTTTTTTCTTGGCATTTTCTATTGCGACTTCGTTTGATGCTTGCACTAATGCTGGTGAAAACTTCCTGTTCGATTAAGTCTCTGGCGTTTGCAACTAGCTTCTTACCGACGAAAGAACTCCATATATTTTTTGGTGTGTTCCGAATGACTCGTCTCAAATAACGTTTTAGTTTTGAAGATTTCATAGAATCGTGACTGAGAACAACTTTGTACAGTGCGCTTTGTTTCTTCTCTATTACACTAGGCATGCTGCCCAGCTTCGCTTAGGCTTTCGAAAACATTGAGAATTTGAATGGTTAATTAATTCGCCCATATAAGGCGCCGGTCAGTTTTGACCCCCTCTTCGTAGACTTTTCGGCCAACCGGCCCCCGTGTTCTGTCGCCCCAAGGCGAGATCCTGCCAAATTTGAAGCGCCTGCGGCGCCGGGAAGTGCCCTATCAGGCACCTGACAACTTAGCTTTATAGATCATCTAGATCTAGATCTAGAATCTCTAGATTTAGAATCCAAATAGATAAAATAAATTTTTTAAGTTTAGGCCGAGAAAATCGTATTGTATACATTTCATTGCGTACATAGCTCTAAATCATATTTGAATGAAATAGTTCATTTCTTTTTATTCTAAACTCGGAAGATGACGTCATCAGTTTCGTGCTTTTTTTTTTAGTGTAAACAATAAGCGACGTCATTGTTAAATGCGTTCTTGTCTCAAGTTTATACACTTTTCCGGTTGCATAAATAATACTGTTTCTCTACATTCGAATACGCCTTTATTTTTTATTTTTCTTCTTTAAATAAAATTGTGGTTATACATTTATAACATCTAACATATTTTTTTCAACAAAAGTCCGTATAAAGGTATCCATATATCGCTGCCGATTCTGACGTGATGTCCGGCGAAAATATTTTGCGGACAGAGAGAGAGAAGTGCGCACATGGGGAATTATATATTAGGATTTCCAGTGATGTTAATGAAGCCGAATTTCAAAAATTCTTCTAAATATTTATGTTTTGTTTCAAATTACTAAGGTTTAGTATACCAGTTGGCGACCCCCCAGAAAGACCTTCGCGACCCCCAGGTTGGGAACCCGTGTCACAGATAGATCAATTTTTTTTGAAAACTTCACTTTGATTTGATAGCAACACTTTGCCGATAAAATATTTTAGTATAATTAGTTCAGCCATATGTGTTGTCATATTTAGTTATAAATTAAAAACAACCAAATTTATTTTTACTTCAAATAATTTTAATTACCAAAAACCTCACCAAATATATCCAATCTTTCAGTGAAGTCGACAAAACCCACGAATCAAGGTTGTATTACTATCGCACCTTATAATATCGCACACCATTGTTTAAAGTTTGTTATACACAATTGGTTGCGAGGTCATTTAATTACCAGTTACATTTTATTTTGATGGTATGAACGATTCGGTCTAATCGGTGTAAGAAAGACAACCCATTAAATGAAAGCGTGTTTGTAGTTTAAATAGGTTATCTTCCTTGCTCTGTTCCCATCATCTTTATCTCTAACCACTGAGGATCACCAGTGAAATTGACCACAAGGACTCATAATAAAACAATGGCGGTGGCGTAAGATAGCAAAACGTTCTTTAATTCATGAACAGGTTATAATACATACAGTCTGGGGTGGGAATCTTGTCATTAGCTACACAATATTTTTGTTTGAAATCTTGTCATTACAATTTTTTAAGTCATTAAGTAACAGATATTAAAGTGTTAGACTAAGTCATGTAGATTTTAACTAAATCTGCTCATATGACTGACTAATCTGGTCACATGACTGACTAATCTAGTCACATGACGGACTGACTAATCTAGTCACATGACTGACTAATCTGGTCACATGACTGACTGACTAATCTGGTCACATGACTGACTGACTAATCTAGTCACATGACTGACTAATCTGGTCACATGAGTGACTGACTAATCTGGTCACATGACTGACTGACTAATCTAGTCACACGACTGACTAATCTAGTCACATGACTGACTAATCTGGTGACATGACTGACTAATCTAGTCACATGACTGACTAATCTGGTCACATGACTGACTAATCTAGTCATATGACTGACTAATCTGGTCACATGACTGACTAATCTAGTCACATGACTGACTGACTAATCTAGTCACATGACTGACTAATCTGGTCACATGACTGACTGACTAATCTGGTCACATGACTGACTGACTAATCTAGTCACACGACTGACTAATCTAGTCACATGACTGACTAATCTGGTCACATGACTGACTAATCTAGTCACATGACTGACTAATCTGGTCACATGACTGACTAATCTAGTCATATGACTGACTAATCTGGTCACATGACTGACTAATCTAGTCACATGACTGACTGACTAATCTAGTCACATGACTGACTAATCTGGTCACATGACTGACTGACTAATCTGGTCACATGACTGACTGACTAATCTAGTCACATGACTGACTAATCTGGTCACATGAGTGACTGACTAATCTGGTCACATGACTGACTGACTAATCTAGTCACATGACTGACTAATCTAGTCACATGACTGACTAATCTGGTCACATGACTGACTAATCTAGTCACATGACTGACTAATCTGGTCACATGACTGACTAATCTAGTCACATGACTGACTAATCTGGTCACATGACTGACTAATCTGGCCACATGACTGACTGACTAATCTGGCCACATGACTGACTGACTAATCTAGTCACATGACTGACTGATCTGGTCACATGACTGACTAATCTAGTCACATGACTGACTAATCTGGTCACATGACTGACTAATCTGGTCACACGACTGACTAATCTGGTCACATGACTGACTAATCTAGTCACATGACTGACTAATCTGGTCACATGACTGACTAATCTGGTCACATGACTGACTAATCTGGTCACATGACTGACTAATCTAGTCACGTGACTGACTAATCTGGTCACATGACTGACTAATCTGGTCACATGACTGACTAATCTGGTCACATGACTGACTAATCTGGTCACATGACTGACTAATCTGGTCACATGACTGACTAATGTGGTCACATGACTGACTAATCTGGTCACATGACTGACTAATCTAGTCACATGACTGACTAATCTAGTCACATGACTGACCCCAGCTAACTCTACAATATTTACAGGTTCCAGTGAGGTGATGTCATCCACTGACTGACGACAACACAGGAGGTAATCACTAGGGAGACTGTAAGGTGTACAGGGCAATTCAGATGACATGTTGCATCTGCTGACATGTGGCATCAGCTGACATGTGACATGAGCTGACATGGGGCATTAGATGACATGTCGTGTGAGATGAGAGCAAAGTAGTGCAGTCAGCTCAATGTGCCAACACCTGGCATGTGACATCTGTGTGACACCTTAGCTGACAGTGACATCTCCGTGTGACACCTCAGCTGACAGTGACATCTCCGTGTGACACCTCAGCTGACAGTGACATCTCCGTGTGACACCTCAGCTGACAGAACTGTCCATCATGTCGCAAGCCTCACAGTGCCAGGTATAGCCTCTGACTTTTGGAGATTTCTTCATTGGTGGATCCAAACACATCATGTGGTAGGAGAGTTGGCACTCATCACACCTGGCAATCAAACAAACACATCAGGTGGTAGGAGAGTTGGCACTCATCACACCTGGCAATCAAACAAACACATCATGTGGTAGGAGAGTTGGCACTCATCACACCTGGCAATCAAACAAACACATCATGTGGTAGGAGAGTTGGCACTCATCACACCTGGCAATCAAACAAACACATTAGGTGGTAGGAGAGTTGGCACTCATCACACCTGGCAATCAAACAAACACATCATGTGGTAGGAGAGTTGGCACTCATCACACCTGGCAATCAAACAAACACATCATGTGGTAGGAGAGTTGGCACTCATCACACCTGGCAATCAAACAAACACATCATGTGGTAGGAGAGTTGGCACTCATCACACCTGGCAATCAAACAAACACATCATGTGGTAGGAGAGTTGGCACTCATCACACCTGGCAATCAAACAAACACATCATGTGGTAGGAGAGTTGGCACTCATCACACCTGGCAATCAAACAAACACATCATGTGGTAGGAGAGTTGGCACTCATCACACCTGGCAATCAAACAAACACATCAGATGGTAGGAGAGTTGGCACTCATCGCACCTGGCAATCAAACAAACACATCAGGTGGTAGGAGAGTTGGCACTCATCACACCTGGCAATCAAACAAACACATCAGGTGGTAGGAGAGTTGGCACTCATCACACCTGGCAATCAAACAAACACATCATGTGGTAGGAGAGTTGGCACTCATCACACCTGGCAATCAAACAAACACATCATGTGGTAGGAGAGTTGGCACTCATCACACCTGGCAATCAAACAAACACATCATGTGGTAGGAGAGTTGGCACTCATCACACCTGGCAATCAAACAAACACATCAGGTGGTAGGAGAGTTGGCACTCATCACACCTGGCAATCAAACAAACACATCATGTGGTAGGAGAGTTGGCACTCATCACGCCTGGCAATCAAACAAACACATCATGTGGTAGGAGAGTTGGCACTCATCACACCTGGCAATCAAACAAACACATCATGTGGTAGGAGAGTTGGCACTCATCACACCTGGCAATCAAACAAACACATCATGTGGTAGGAGAGTTGGCACTCATCACACCTGGCAATCAAACAAACACATCATGTGGTAGGAGAGTTGGCACTCATCACACCTGGCAATCAAACAAACACATCATGTGGTAGGAGAGTTGGCACTCATCACACCTGGCAATCAAACAAACACATCATGTGGTAGGAGAGTTGGCACTCATCACACCTGGCAATCAAATAAACACATCATGTGGTAGGAGAGTTGGCACTCATCACACCTGGCAATCAAACAAACACATCATGTGGTAGGAGAGTTGGCACTCATCACACCTGGCAATCAAACAATCGCAGGTCAATCTTGTCAATCACAGGTCAATCTTGTCAATCACAGGTCAATCTTGTCAATCACAGGTCAATCTTGTCAATCACAGGTCAATCTTGTCAATCACAGGTCAATCTTGTAAATCACAGGTCAATCTTGTCAATCACAGGTCAATCTTGTCAATCACAGGTCAATCTTGTCAATCACAGGTCAATCTTGTAAATCACAGGTCAATCTTGTCAATCACAGGTCAATCTTGTCAATCACAGGTCAATCTTGTCAATCACAGGTCAATCTTGTAAATCACAGGTCAATCTTGTCAATCACAGGTCAATCTTGTCAATCACAGGTCAATCTTGTCAATCACAGGTCAATCTTGTCAATCACAGGTAAATCTTGTAAATCACAGGTCAATCTTGTCAATCACAGGTCAATCTTGTCAATCACAGGTCAATCTTGTCAATCACAGGTCGATGTTGTCAATCACAGGTCAATCTTGTCAATCAAACAATCACAGGTCAATCTTTTCAATCAAACAATCAAAGGTCAATCTTGTCAATCAAACAATCACAGGTCAATCTTGTCAATCAAACAATCACAGGTCAATCTTGTCAATCAAACAATCACAGGTCAATCTTGTCAATCAAACAAGCACAGATCAATATTGTCAATCAAACAATAACAGGTCAATCTTGTCAATCAAACAATCACAGGTCATCTTGTCAATCAAACAATCACAGGTCAATCTTGTATATCAAACAATCACAGGTCAATCTTGTCAATCAAACAATTACAGGTCAATCTTGTCAATCAACCAATCACAGGTCAATCTTGTCAATCAAACAATCACAGGTCAATCTTTTCAATCAAACAATCACAGGTCAATCTTGTCAATCAAACAATCACAGGTCAATCTTGTCAATCAAACAATCACATGTCAATCTTGTCAATCAAACAATTACAGGTCAATCTTGTCAATCAAACAATCACAGGTCAATCTTGTCAATCAAACAAGCACAGATCAATATTGTCAATCAAACAATAACAGGTCAATCTTGTCAATCAAACAATCACAGGTCATCTTGTCAATCAAACAATCACAGGTCAATCTTGTATATCAAACAATCACAGGTCAATCTTGTCAATCAAACAATTACAGGTCAATCTTGTCAATCAACCAATCACAGGTCAATCTTGTCAATCAAACAATCACAGGTCAATCTTTTCAATCAAACAATCACAGGTCAATCTTGTCAATCAAACAATCACAGGTCAATCTTGTCAATCAAACAATCACATGTCAATCTTGTCAATCAAACAATTACAGGTCAATCTTGTCAATCAAACAATCACAGGTCAATCTTGTCAATCAAACAATCACCGGACGTTTTTTATGAAACAAAGCTGGCACAACAATTTCTGAAGAACTGAATTATTGATGATTGTTGAGTGACCATTGAAAGACGTTGAATGGGTGAGAGTTGAGTGAGAGTTGAGTGAGAGTTGAGTGAGAGTTGAGTGAGAGTTGAGTGAGAGTTGAGTGAGAGTTGAGTGAGAGTTGAGTGAGAGTTGAGTGAGAGTTGTTGAGTGAGAGTTGAGTGAGAGTTGAGTGAGAGTTGAGTGAGAGTTGAGTGAGAGTTGAGTGAGAGTTGAGAGAGAGTTGTTGAGTGAGAGTTGAGTGAGAGTTGAGTGAGAGTTGAGTGAGAGTTGAGTGAGAGTTGTTGAGTGAGAGTTGAGTGAGAGTTGAGTGAGAGTTGAGTGAGAGTTGAGTGAGAGTTGAGTGAGAGTTGAGTGAGAGTTGTTGAGTGAGAGTTGAGTGAGAGTTGAGTGAGAGTTGAGTGAGAGTTGAGTGAGAGTTGAGTGAGAGTTGAGTGAGAGTTGAGTGAGAGTGCTCTAGTACCTGACAGTGTCTGTGACAGTACCGTCCTGATTACACACCACACACATGATGTACAACCCCTGGGCTGGCAGACTGACATGGGAGGCTGGGCTCTTGTCCGCTCTCTTCACAGGGGAACTCACTTTTGTCAAGTCTGTGGGGCACTTGGTCTGTGAGGATTTCTGTCAAAATGTTTGGACAAGTTGCATGTTATTACCAAACACTACAGACCAACCTCGTATAAATTCAGCCGTAACTTACCCCAGCCGTACAAAACAACCTCGTATAAATTAAGCCATAACTTACCCCAGCCGTACAAACCAACCTCGTATAAATTCAGCCGTAACTTACCCCAGCACTTCTAGCCAATCGCCTGGCGCGTGCCGTGTCTCGCTTTCTTCGATTTCTTTTCCTGACTAAACTTCTCTGCTGCTGGCTCTACAAGGGGAAAGACAATTTTCCAGCTTGTAGATGACATGTCGACAAGATGTCCAGTCAAATGTCAACAAGATGTCCAGTCAAATGTCAACAAGATGTCCAGTCAAATGTCAACAAGATGTCCAGTCAAATGTCAACAAGATGTCAAGTCAAATGTCAAGATGTCCAGTCAAATGTCAACAAGATGTCCAGGCAAATGTCAATAAGATGTCCAGTCAAATGTCAACAAGATGTCAAATGTCAACAAGATGTCAAGTCAAATGTCAACAAGATGTCAAGTCAAATGTCAACAAGATGTTCAGTCAAATCTGAATGTATCAAATCAAATGACATGATGATCAACTGACAGGTCAAGTCACTAAGGAGATGCTTACTTTGATTGAGTCTTGGACATGGCTGAGATGGAAAAATTTGTCCGGCTCTTTAATGGTTTCCCGCAGCCTGCGCGGCTCATCAACATCTGGAGCGCTGCGCAGCGAGCTGTCACTGCTGGGTACTACACAGTAGGAGCACTGCCTGCAACACACAACACAACACACTAACAGCGAGCTGTCACTGCTGGGTACTACACAGTAGGAGCACTGCCTGAAACACACAACACAACCTGACACACTGCCTGCAACACACAACACACTGCCTGCAAGACACAACACAATCTGACACACTGCCTGCAACACACAACACAATCTGACACACTGCCTGCAACACACAACACAATCTGACACACTGCGTGCAAGACACAACGCAACCTGACACACTGCCTGCAAGACTCAACACACTGCCTGCAACACACAACACAACCTGACACACTGCCTGCAACACACAACACAACCTGCCACACTGCCTGCAAGACAACCTGACACACTGCCTGCAAGACTCAACACACTGCCTGCAAGACAACCTGCCAGACTGCCTGCAAGACAACCTGCCAGACTGCCTGCAAGACTCAACACACTGCCTGCAAGACAACCTGCCAGACTGCCTGCAAGACAACCTGCCAGACAACCTGCCAGACTGCCTGCAAGACACAACACACAGCCTGCAAGACACAACACACTGCCTGCAAGACACAACACACTGCCTGCAAGACACAAAACACTGCCTGCAAGACACAACCTGACACACTGCCTGCAAGACTCAAGACACTGCCTGCAAGACAACCTGACACACAGCCAGCAAGACAACCTGCCAGACTGCCTGCAAGACAACCTGCCAGACTGACTTACCAGCCAAAGAGTTTGGTTTTCTTGGGCATACGAGTGAGTGGTGGCTCCAGACAGCCCAGGTGATAGTGTCCCTTACAGCTGTCACACTTGGCCAGCAGGTGTTGGTCTGTGCTGCTGCTGCACGTCACACACCTGGGGTAAATTTCAAATGACCATCAAATGACATTGGTAAATGACACTGCTAAATGACATTTCAAATGACAGTCAAATGGCACTGGTAAATGACAGTCAAATGACACAGGTAAATGACATTTCAAATGACAGTCAAATGGCACTGATAAATGACATTCCAAATGACACTTACTGGTTAATAACAACAGCTGGTGAGGCGGGTGACTCCTTCTTGTTGGGTGAAGCTGTCCGTTTTCTGTTTTTAAAGATGTCTGGTATGTTTGGTACTGGCTGGACAAGAGAAACTTTTCAGTCAACAGACAGAGAGAAACATTTCAGTCAACAGACAGAGAGAAACTTTTCAGTCAACAGACAGAGAGAAACATTTCAGTCAACAGAGAGAAACTTTTCAGTCAACAGACAGAGAGAAACTTTCTCACATCCTGGGCTCTACAGCTTCCAAGGTATGCTAACATTCAGGACAGCACATACAGGGTTACCACTATAAAAACTGTAAAATAAAAGTTTACCTTTCCAAAAATATCCTGCAGCATCCCACACAAAGACTCGCCCGCCCTGCGTGTTGTGTTGCCTCTCTGCTTTAGGTCATTCACTTCAGCATTCAGCTGATAACAAACATCACAATGTCAAGGTGACACATTGTTTACAAACATCACAATGTTTACAAACATCACAATGTCAAGGTGACACATTGTTTACAAACATCACAGTGTCAAGGTGACACATTGTTTACAAACATCACAATGTCAAGGTGACACATTGTTTACAAACATCACAATGTCAAGGTGACACATTATTTACAAACATCACATTGTCAAGGTGACACATTGTTTACAAACATCACATTGTCAAGGTGACACATTGTTTACAAACATCACATTGTCAAGGTGACACATTGTTTACAAACATCACATTGTCAAGGTGACACATTGTTTACAAACATCACATTGTCAAGGTGACACATTGTTTACAAACATCACATTGTCAAGGTGACACATTGTTTACAAACATCACAATGTCAAGGTGACACATTGTTTACAAACATCACAATGTCAAGGTGACACATTGTTTACAAACATCACATTGTCAAGGTGACACATTGTTTACAAACATCACATTGTCAAGGTGACACATTGTTTACAAACATCACATTGTCAAGGTGACACATTGTTTACAAACATCACATTGTCAAGGTGACACATTGTTTACAAACATCACATTGTCAAGGTGACACATTGTTTACAAACATCACAATGTCAAGGTGACACATTGTTTACAAACATCACAATGTCAAGGTGACATATTGTTTACAAACATCACAATGTCAAGGTGACACATTGTTTACAAACATCACAATGTCAAGGTGACACATTGTTTACAAACATCACAATGTCAAGGTGACACATTGTTTACAAACATCACATTGTCAAGGTGACACATTGTTTACAAACATCACAATGTCAAGGTGACACATTGTTTACAAACATCACATTGTCAAGGTGACACATTGTTTACAAACATCACAATGTCAAGGTGAAACATTGTTTACAAACATCACAATGCCAAGGTGACACATTGTTTACAAACATCACAATGTCAAGGTGACACATTGTTTACAAACATCACATTGTCAAGGTGACACATTGTTTACAAACATCACAATGTCAAGGTGACAAATTGTTTACAAACATCACAATGTCAAGGTGACATACTGTTTACAAACATCACAATGTCAAGGTGACATACTGTTTACAAACATCACAATGTCAAGGTGACACTTTGTTTACAAACATCACAATGTCAAGGTGACACATTGTTTACAAACATCACATTGTCAAGGTGACACATTGTTTACAAACATCACAATGTCAAGGTGACACATTGTTTACAAACATCACATTGTCAAGGTGACACATTGTTTACAAACATCACAATGTCAAGGTGAAACATTGTTTACAAACATCACAATGCCAAGGTGACACATTGTTTACAAACATCACAATGTCAAGGTGACACATTGTTTACAAACATCACATTGTCAAGGTGACACATTGTTTACAAACATCACAATGTCAAGGTGACAAATTGTTTACAAACATCACAATGTCAAGGTGACATACTGTTTACAAACATCACAATGTCAAGGTGACATACTGTTTACAAACATCACAATGTCAAGGTGACATACTGTTTACAAACATCACAATGTCAAGGTGACACATTGTTTACAAACATCACAATGTCAAGGTGACATACTGTTTACAAACATCACAATGTCAAGGTGACACATTGTTTACAAACATCACAATGTCAAGGTGACACATTGTTTACAAACACATTGTCAAGGTGACACATTGTTTACAAACATCACAATGTCAAGGTGAAACATTGTTTACAAACATCACAATGTCAAGGTGACACATTGTTTACAAACATCACATTGTCAAGGTGACACATTGTTTACAAACATCACAATGTCAAGGTGAAACATTGTTTACAAACATCACAATGTCAAGGTGACACATTGTTTACAAACATCACAATGTCAAGGTGACACATTTTAAAACTTGTACACCACTAACTGCTACTACCTGCCACACCACTCCTGCCCCCACCCCATGGCCCCCACCCCTCCTGACCCCACCCCCGCCTGGCCCCCACCCCTCCTGACCCACACCCCTCCCTTACCTGGTCGTATCTTGTCCTCACATCTCTTTCTTGCAGACGTAGTTTTTTGTTTTGTGAAACCAGGTCAGCCAGAGTGTTTTTTAGGTTGTCCACTTTGATGTTACGATCTGAAATCAAATTCTCATGTTATCATATGAAATCAAATTCTCATGTTATCATACAAAATCAAATTCTCATGTTACAATATGAAATAAAAAATGTATGTTATGGTATTAAAAAAAGCCCTCTGAAATAAAAAATACCATCAAACTTCCCTAAACAGAAAGATTAATTAATTCTGTGAACTAACTTTAATGTGAACTAACCTCAAGGTAAATTTACCTTAATGTAAACTGACCTTGACGTGAACTGACCTTGATGTAAACTGACCTTGAGGTAAACTGACCTTGATGTGAACTGACAGCCAACTTACCCATGAAGTAGTTGATAAATTCTGATGTGAACGCTGGCTGACCAATGGCTTTCTTCCTGATCTCTTGTTTTTCTACTGGCATTGTGTGAACCTGAAGAAGTAGGAGAACACATCAAAAGGTCATTGCTGGCTACACCCTAAAGGTCATTGCTGACATCCTAAAGGTCATTGCTGGCTACATCCTAAAGGTCATTGTTGGCTACATCCTAAAGGTCATTGTTAGCTACATCCTAAAGGTCATTGGTGGCTACATCCTAAAGGTCATTGGTGGCTACACCCTAAAGGTCATTGCTGGCTACATCCTAAAGGTCATTGCTGGCTACATTCTAAAGGTCATTGCTGGCTACATCCTAAAGGTCATTGCTGGCTACACCCTAAAGGTCATTGCTGGCTACACCCTAAAGGTCATTGCTGGCTACATCCTAAAGGTCATTGCTGGCTACATCCTAAAGGTCATTGCTGGCTACATCCTAAAGGTCATTGCTGGCTACATCCTAAAGGTCATTGCTGGCTACATCCTAAAGGTCATTGCTGGCTACATTCTAAAGGTCATTGCTGGCTACATCCTAAAGGTCATTGAGGGCTACATCCTAAAGGTCATTGTTGGCTACATCCTAAAGGTCATTGTTAGCTACATCCTAAAGGTCATTGTTAGCTACATCCTAAAGGTCATTGCTGGCTACATCCTAAAGGTCATTGTTAGCTACATCCTAAAGGTCATTGTTAGCTACATCCTAAAGGTCATTGGTGGCTACATCCTAAAGGTCATTGGTGGCTACATCCTAAAGGTCATTGCTGGCTACATTCTAAAGGTCATTGCTGGCTACATTCTAAAGGTCATTGCTGGCTACATCCTAAAGGTCATTGATGGCTACATCCTAAAGGTCATTGTTAGCTACATCCTAAAGGTCATTGCTGGCTACATCCTAAAGGTCATTGCTGGCTACATCCTAAAGGTCATTGATGGCTACATCCTAAAGGTCATTGTTGGCTACATCCTAAAGGTCATTGCTGGCTACATCCTAAAGGTCATTGATGGCTACATCCTAAAGGTCATTGTTGGCTACATCCTAAAGGTCATTGTTGGCTACATCCTAAAGGTCATTGCTGGCTACATCCTAAAGGTCATTGCTGGCTACATCCTAAAGGTCATTGCTGGCTACATCCTAAAGATCATTGCTGGCTACATCCTAAAGGTCATTGCTGGCTACATCCTAAAGGTCATTGCTGGCTACATCCTAAAGGTCATTGCTGGCTACACCCTAAAGGTCATTGCTGGCTACATCCTAAAGGTCATTGCTGGCTACATCCTAAAGGTCATTGCTGGCTACATCCTAAAGGTCATTGCTGGCTACATCCTAAAGGTCATTGCTGGCTACATCCTAAAGGTCATTGTTGGCTACATCCTAAAGGTCATTGCTGGCTACATCCTAAAGGTCATTGCTGGCTACATCCTAAAGGTCATTGCTGACATCCTAAAGGTCATTGTTGGCTACATCCTAAAGGTCATTGCTGGCTACATCCTAAAGGTCATTGCTGGCTACATCCTAAAGGTCATTGTTGGCTACATCCTAAAGGTCATTGCTGGCTACATCCTAAAGGTCATTGCTGGCTACATCCTAAAGGTCATTGCTGACATCCTAAAGGTCATTGTTGGCTACATCCTAAAGGTCAATGAAACTGCTGTAGACCAGTAAATCATGATGCATGTCGAGACTAAAACCTACTTGTGTAATGACTCCCATCAGCTCAGACTTGCGTAAGAAATGTCGAACAGCTGAAGGACTTGTGTGTAGATGTCTGACCATCTTCTGGGTGGGAACTGTACAAAAGATCCAATATTTAAACTTTAACCCTCCAATATTTAAACTTTGACCCTCCAATATTTGAACTTTGACCCTCCAACATTTGAACTTTGACCCTCCAATATTTAAACTTTGACCCTCCAACATTTGAACTTTGACCCTCCACAATTAGCTGTTTGACCAGTGAGCTACCTGACTTACCCCAAGATGGTGGCCTTTTAGTTTTAGTGATGCTGTACTTCTCTCTGTGCCTGTTGAGCTTTCTCTCAAACCGGAGCTAAACAACAAAAACACACATTTCATGATCAGACAACTCTTAACCCTTTCCTATCCGGGGCAGCAAAACTATTTTACTTTTCCTACGAGCGGGCAAAAAGACAATGAACTTTTCAACTACAGCACTTTATAAAAAAATTATTTTAAAAGAACAACTAATGTTAAAACTTAAAAAAAACAGCATCTAACACAAAATTGATTTGAGTTTATTATGTATGAGGTAAAATAGTTTAATGGTTTAGTAATAATAAATAAAAAATTACATTAATCGTAAAAAATAAAATGTCAAGAAAACATAATTTCTAATACTGTTTCTATTAAAAAAATTTTTTTTCAAACTGGAGCTACTTTCTTTTTCATTATCATTGTATTAGTTACATAATAAATAAATCCTGATTTAACGGCAAAGGTATTTTAATTAGATTTAATTTCACTTATTATATTGCCAGTAAATTTGAGAAATTTTTTTAACTTTAGAAAAATTGTAGAAAATGAACTAAATTTGGGAATTTCATTTTTATTGTGCCAGTATTGTTATATTTTTCTGAAATCTAGTCCATTACTGAGTGCATTGTTGGTTGTACATTTTTAATTAATTACTGTTTAGATAGTAAACATAAGTAGGGAATGAGTTGAACTTGACCAAATAGCCAACTTGACCAAATAGCCAACTTGATATAATAGCCAACTTGACCAAATAACCAACTTGACCAGATAGCCAGCACAGAGTGGTATTTAAAAGAATGTTTACCCTCTCCACGTGATCAGAGATGACATTAGGTGTGTGTGTCTTGACGTGGGACTGTATGGCCAACCAGTTTCTGCGCTTGATCTTTGAGCTTATCTTGTCAGCATGAAGTTTACAGTAGGCAAAAAATGGATCAGCTATGTCCTGATGACAAGACAACAACTTCATCGTCACAACAGGCAACAACAACTTTCATGTCATCATAACAACAGACAACAACAACTTTTATGTCACCATAACAACAGCCAAGAACAGCTAACGCTGCTACAAATAGACCAATGTTTACCATGACTTCCTCTGGTGCTGCCTCAGCCAACAAGCCTTCTCTCTGGGCACTGTCAACAGTAAACAACAGGCAATTCAATAGTTGCCATAGCAACAGTGAAACAACAGGCAATTCAATAGTTGCCATAGCAACAGTAAACAACAGGCAATCCAATAGTTGCCATAGCAACAGTGAAACAACAGGCAATTCAATAGTTGCCATAGCAACAGTAAACAACAGGCAATTCAATAGGTGCCATAGCAACAGTAAACAACAGGCAATTCAATAGTTGCCATAGCAACAGTGAAACAACAGGCAATTCAATAGTTGCCATAGCAACAGTAAACAACAGGCAATCCAATAATTGCCATAGCAACAGTAAACAACAGGCAATTTAATAGGTGCCATAGCAACAGTAAACAACAGGCAATTCAATAGTTGCCATAGCAACAGTAAACAACAACAAATGAAATACTCTTCACTCTACACCATCACATCTACAGCAGCAATTTTAAATCATCATCTAATATGAAATCAAGTAAACCTTAGCCTCACCTAATATAAAATCAAGTCAACTTTGGCCTCACCTAAGATGACATGAAATCAGCCATAAGCTAAGAGAATATGTAACAAAAAGCAAACGTACCATGTGACATGGAAGTAAGCTTTACACATCCCCGCATCACAGTTGATGCACACGCCAGTTTGGCTAAATCGTGAGTCTTCACACAATGAACATTCCTGGCAAATAGATAAAAAATTCCTGTCAAATAGATCAAACCTTTGTACTATACAAGAGTTACTTACCCTGGCGCCCCATGTTGTACTAGACAAGAGTTACTTACCCTGGCGCCCCACTTGGAATAAGACATCTCAAACAACGTGACCATGTTGTACTAGACAAGAGTTACTTACCCTGGCGCCCCACTTGGAATAAGACATCTCAAACAACGTGACCATGTTGTACTAGACAAGAGTTACTTACCCTGGCGCCCCACTTGGAATAAGACATCTCAAACAACGTGACCATGTTGTACTAGACAAGAGTTACTTACCCTGGCGCCCCACTTGGAATAAGACATCTCAAACAACGTGACCATGTTGTACTAGACAAGAGTTACTTACCCTGGCGCCCCACTTGGAATAAGACATCTCAAACAACGTGACCATGTTGTACTAGACAAGAGTTACTTACCCTGGCGCCCCACTTGGAATAAGACATCTCAAACAACGTGACCATGTTGTACTAGACAAGAGTTACTTACCCTGGCGCCCCACTTGGAATAAGACATCTCAAACAATGTGACCGTGTTGTACTATACAAGAGTTACTTACCCTGGCGCCCCATGTTGTACTAGACAAGAGTTACTTACCCTGGCGCCCCACTTGGAATAAGACATCTCAAACAACGTGACCATGTTGTACTATACAAGAGTTACTTACCCTGGCGCCCCACTTGGAATAAGACATCTCAAACAACGTGACTGTGTTGTACTAGACAAGAGTTACTTACCCTGGCGCCCCATGTTGTACTATACAAGAGTTACTTACCCTGGCGCCCCACTTGGAATAAGACATCTCAAACAACGTGACTGTGTTGTACTAGACAAGAGTTACTTACCCTGGCGCCCCATGTTGTACTATACAAGAGTTACTTACCCTGGCGCCCCATGTTGTACTATACAAGAGTTACTTACCCTAGCGCCCCACTTGGAATAAGACATCTCAAACAACGTGACCATGTTGTACTAGACAAGAGTTACTTACCCTGGCGCCCCACTTGGAATAAGACATCTCAAACAACGTGACCATGTTGTACTAGACAAGAGTTACTTACCCTGGCGCCCCACTTGGAATAAGACATCTCAAACAACGTGACCATGTTGTACTAGACAAGAGTTACTTACCCTGGCGCCCCACTTGGAATAAGACATCTCAAACAACGTGACCATGTTGTACTAGACAAGAGTTACTTACCCTGGCGCCCCACTTGGAATAAGACATCTCAAACAATGTGACCGTGTTGTACTATACAAGAGTTACTTACCCTGGCGCCCCATGTTGTACTAGACAAGAGTTACTTACCCTGGCGCCCCACTTGGAATAAGACATCTCAAACAACGTGACCATGTTGTACTATACAAGAGTTACTTACCCTGGCGCCCCACTTGGAATAAGACATCTCAAACAACGTGACTGTGTTGTACTAGACAAGAGTTACTTACCCTGGCGCCCCATGTTGTACTATACAAGAGTTACTTACCCTGGCGCCCCACTTGGAATAAGACATCTCAAACAACGTGACTGTGTTGTACTAGACAAGAGTTACTTACCCTGGCGCCCCATGTTGTACTATACAAGAGTTACTTACCCTGGCGCCCCATGTTGTACTATACAAGAGTTACTTACCCTAGCGCCCCACTTGGAATAAGACATCTCAAACAACGTGACCAGACTCAGTTTATCCACATCACCAAATGCCACACCAGGGGTGTACAGCGCACACACGATGTGAACCCACCTACAGATGGAAAATTGTGTACATGACCCAAATTACAGGTTTTAAAATGTGTACATGAACCTACTTATAAAATGTGTACATGAGCCTACTTATAAAAAGTGTACATGAACCTACTTATAAAATGTGTACATGAACCTACTTATAAAATGTGTACATGAACCTACTTATAAAAAGTGTACATGAACCTACTTATAAAAAGTGTACATGAACCTACTTATAAAATGTGTACATGAGCCTACTTATAAAAAGTGTACATGAACCTACTTATAAAATGTGTACATGAACCTGCTTATAAAATGTGTACATGAACCAGCTGATGTTGGCACAACTTACTTGCCATTGTCTGTTTCCTTAAAGATTCCTCCAGTGTTGGGGCAGAGTTCACACACCTGGGTCAAGGTTAGAGCAAGGTCATGTCTTTACACAAGGTTAGAGCAAGGTCATGTCTTTACACAAGGTTAGAGCAAGGTCATGTTTTTACACAAGGTTAGAGCAAGGTCATGTCTTTACACAAGGTTAGAATCAAGGTCATGTCTTTACAAGTAAGGTGGTAGAGAAGTGTGAGTGTGGAGGCGGGGGAGGTGTTGAAACAAAGTTGTAGGCAGTTTTCACAAGGTTAACATGACTCACAGGTTTAGCCGTGGCCTTGCAAGCGTCACAGAACCACGGCTCTGTGCTGGCAGAGGACTCGGTGCTGGCTGTAGAATGGCTCTCACTGATACCATAGCAACCTGAACAGATGGTTCATGCAATCAGTGCTTCATGTCATTCATTATTCATTCAAACAATAAAAATATTTAGTTCATTCATTAATTCAATGATTGATTCAAACAATCAAATTAAATTTCTAACTAAGATTCTTTGCTAGGTTTGACTAATCAAACATGTTTTATATTCCAATGTCTAGAAATACCTTCATGAACAGATATCCCACAGTTGTCACACTCAACAATTTCATCATCGTCAGCGCTGAAATAGTCAATCAAACCTCAGTCATTAAAATCTCCATAAAATATCACATTTTTTAAATTAGATTATTAAAACATTAAAATATTACTTATAAAACTTGGATACAATCTCATCAAACCATGACCCAATCTCATCCAACCAAGACCCAATCTCATCCAACCAAGACAAAATCTCATCCAACCAAGACACAATCTCATCTAACCAAGACACAAACCCATCTCACCAAGACACAATCTCATCCAACCAAGACACAATCTCTATGACCTACCTTCTGTCTGACAAGCAGACACAGCAAACGATGACCTTGATGCGTCCGTGTGGGACGGCATCCTGAAGTCTGTCTGGGTCATCTCTCTGTGGGTGACTTTTGGCTTTGCTTGCTACAGATTTCTGACAAGTCAAAAACATTCTCTAAACCAGATGAACATTGTCTTCTTCATAGGCATAAGTTAAATTCATTCAAATGCTATTGTATCACTACATTAGGGCTGTTTGTTTTACTTTAATTAAACGTTTGATTGGATATTGCTGTGCCATCAGGTTCAGCTTACCGATTGGTTCCCTTCTGAGCCTGCTTTGCCAGACTTTTTTTTTCGCTTTTTTGGAACATAGTCTTCATCATCCTCATCACTATCTATCATGGACCAAACATGACTCAAACCTAGCAGGTAAGACAAGAATTGTTAACTGTCATACATGACTCAAACCTAGCAGGTAAGAGAAGAATTGTTAACTATCATGGACCAAACATGACTTAAACCTAGCAGGTAAGACAAGAATTGTTAACTGTCATACATGACTCAAACCTAGCAGGTAAGACAAGAATTGTTAACTGTCAGATGTTAGGCCATGAGTATCACAGGCCATGAGTATCACACATAGAGGTAAAGTTAGGCCAGGAGTATCACACAAACAGGTAAAGTTAGGCCAGGAGTATCACACAAACAGGTAAAGTTAGACCAGGAGTATCACACAAACAGGTAAAGTTAGGCCATGAGTATCACACAAACAGGTAAAGTTAGGCCATGAGAATCACACAAACAGGTAAAGTTAGGCCATGAGTATCACACAAACAGGTTAAGTTAGGCCAGGAGTATCACACAAACAGGTAAAGTTAGGCCAGGAGTATCACACAAACAGGTAAAGTTAGGCCAGGAGTATCACACAAACAGGTAAAGTTAGGCCAGGAGTATCACACAAACAGGTAAAGTTAGGCCAGGAGTATCACACAAACAGGTAAAGTTAGGCCAGGAGTATCACACAAACAGGTAAAGTTAGGCCAGGAGTATCACACAACCAGGTTCACTTTACATCTATGCAAAAAATTACCCACCTTTTATTTCTGGGCTTTTAGTTTCATCATCAACATCTTTGTCAATATTTTCATCTTCCTCTTCATCAGCAGAATCACCGTCCTCTTCATGGTCAGTTTCTTCATCTTCACTCTCCTCCTCCAGTGGTTCCTCATCATCATACAAACTGCTGTTCTCATCTGAGTGCTCATCACCATTCACCACGTCCCCACTTTCTTCATCACTTTCATCTAGAGGCTCCTCTCCAAGTTCTAAACATTAGAACACATTTTTATGACATCTGATAGATAGCACATTTTTCTTACTACTAAATAATTTTGAAAGCAAGTATTTACAATTGGCAATATTTCTTTTTAAAAGGGGGGGGGGGGGGGTGAAGAATTAGCAGGAAAAAAAGAGTTACAAAAATTAACATGCAGAAAAAATAAACAATGTAAAATAACCCAAAATAAAGCAGGAGTGATTTCCTTTTATGTCAGTAAGGGGAATAGTTTTTAGTGCTATTGGGCTATAGAAGAAATATAGATAAAAGTTTGTGAAAAAAACATTCAATTTTTTAGAACATTTTTTAAACTAAGCTTTAAAAATAAAAAATTTCAAATTTTGAAGGTTCTTGAGAAGTCAGAAATGGGGCGAAATTCCGCATTATTAAGCACTAATTTTTTCGCTTTAGTAAACACACTTTAAATAGAATATGTGATTTAAAACGTGCGGCGTCAAAACGGCCAATGACAAAACGGCCCCGTCAAAAGGGCCAGCGACATATTGACCCCGTCATATAGGCTCCAGACAAATAGGCTCCCGTCATTTAGGCTACCGACAAATAGGCTCCCGTTATATAGGCTCCCGACAAAAGGCCTCCAGTCAATAAGGCTCCTGACAAATAGGCTCCCGTCATTTTGGCTCCCGACATATAGTCTCCCGTCATTTAGTTTTTTCCAGAAAACGGCCCCCGTCATTACGACTCCCGACAAATAGGCTCCCGCCATTTTGTTTCTCCACAAAACGGCCCCCGTCATTACGACTACCGACAAATAGGCTCGCGTCATTTTGGCTCCTGACAAAAAGGCTCCTGTCAATTTGGCTCCAGACAAAAGGACCACTGACACAGTGGCGTAGCTACCGTAAAGCTAGCGTAAGCAAGGCATGGGGGCCCAAGGCACATAGGGGCCCTTTTCCCTCATAAAAAATTAAAACTTTTACAATGGAATTTTAATATTTGTTACACATAAATAATATTAAAAAAGAAAAAGGTTAAAAGTTCCAAAAAGCCCCCCCCCCCCCCCACCGTTTCGGCAGTGGGATTCAGAGTGTGTGTGTGTGTGGGTCAAACAGAGCCCAATCGTTATAATAACACTACAGGCGATATCACTTTGTCGTGCAAGACATTGAGGGAATCAGCCTATAAATAAACTTTTTAGCAGTAGTAGGCAAGCATAATAATATAGTATAAATACATAATCAGGACATATAAAATACAAAATGTTGCCTTCAGAATATTTATATATTAAAAAATATCCATCGTAAGTAGAAGTTGATCTCTTTGTTTAACTCCTCTGTAGCCTAACGCAGAGGCGTAGCGAAGGCGAGGCGGGGGGTGCGGACCGCAACGGGTGACACCATTTAGGGGGGTGACACCAAAGGCAAAAAATTGTAAAATTTATAGAATTAAATGCCATTTGTCCAGATCCATTAGTTAAAGTTAAATAGTCTTCTAAGTACAAATTGAAAATTATATCAAGAGGGGGGGGGGGGTGACACCACGACGTAAACGTAAACTATAAAGAAAACAATGCTACATCCAACTGTATTATAAACAGACTGTAGATAAACATCGTTACTATTAAGTCTGCAGTGATTAAAGCTTAAACACGTACGCGTACCAGTATGTGGCATACATATATAAATTTTAGGCCTATGTAGGCCGACACACACACACACACTATATATATATATATGCTTTCTTTCCTGGGAGGGGGTGACAATACGAAGTGCCGCACCGGGTGACACCCGACCTAGCGACGCCACTGGCCTAACGGCTGACGATAATTTTTGCATAGGGGCCCAAAAATCCTAGCTACACCACTGCACTGACAATACCGTTTCTGTAGAGACTAAGTCTCCCGGCAAAGCGGGCTCATTGAATATGACACCTGCCAGTGGGACCCCTTCATCAATATTCTTTAGAGTTAGCTTATCCAACACTCTTATGTAATACAACGTATGCATCTCTTGTTCGGCAGGCCTTATTTTTATATTAGTTTATCTATTATAAAATATAGTATGTTTTAATTTAAGGGTCATCTATCTATGACATCCATAATTGAGTCGGTTATAGGCTGTTCCAACTCAGTGTGTGGGGAGAAGGGTCCACGCTGTACCTTCCTAACTGCAATATGCTTGTAGTTTATCAAAACAAAATGCTGTTATCATGTTAACATCATGTATATCATACATTTACACTTCTGTGCTCGCTTTTAAGCAACAGATCTTTTCTGTTGTAAATTAAACATTATCAAAACTTTAGAATTGGTGGAATTTAGCTGTTAAGGGCTCGATTTGTTTGTGAATTAATGTTGGTTCATAAAAAACACTTTCATTCGGGCATTAAAAAGAGGTTATAGTGGTATTGGAGGTAGGACACAATGGTTACTTTTATGCCAATAGTGGTCATATCATTCATTTTTCTGGAGCCAATATGTCAGGAGTCATTTTGTCAAAAGCCAATATTTCGGGAGCCCAATTGCCGAGAGCCAATATGTCGGGAGCCCATTTGTCGGTAGCCAAAATGTCGTGAGCCCATTTGTCTTGAGCCCTTATGTCGGGAGCCGCTTTGTCGGGAGCCAATATGTCCTGAGCCTATTTGTCAGGGGTTAATATGTCGGGAGTCCATTTGTCGGGAGCCCATTTGTCGGGAGCCTATATGTCGCAAGTCAATATGACGGGAGCCAATAAGTCGGGGCCCTTTTGACGGGGTCGGTTTGTCGGGAGTCGATTTGACGGGGCCGTTTTGACTGGGCACCGATTTAAAATCATCAAATTCTTATGGCTTTTTAGCAAAAAATACTACTTCCGTTCACCGGAAATCACTTAAAATTTGAAATAACTAAGAGAATAGGATCTTATATCAATGTTGTTTAAAATTTCATCTAACTGAATCAGGGCTAAAGTTCTCATTATAAAAACACGCACACAGACGGAGAGGATGCAAAACTGGAAGGTTATAAATCATCCCAATCACAATTTAGATTTTAGCATGATCTCATTGCATCATTTATATTCCGTATACGATAAAGTTGGAAGGTGTAACATGGTGAAAACTGTCTAATTATCTGCTAATTGTTCATAGTGATTACATCCTGGGTCCTCTATAAGGTATACTCCGAAAACAAAAAGCTTGGATAATTTTTAATTTATTTTTAGTTTCCATGTGCCAATTACCTTTTGAGTGTTTGCCTATGTCAAAGTCACTGTCTTCCTCACTGTCATCCAGACCAAAGTTCACCTGAACTTGACTGCTATGTACTGGCTTCACACGTCTCTTTCTTGGGTCACGATTTACTGAGCCAAATGGAACAAAAACATTTTTATGTCTCCCACCCATTTTAGTAGGCCTATATATTATAGTGCCAAAGCTATAGGCCTATAGATAAATGCATAAAATTAACTAAGGCTAACAGTAATCTTAAATAACTACTAAATAAGTGTAGTGGTGGTGAGTTAGTACAGGTACTTGCTTGACACTTGCTGAAAGTGCAAAAAGTAGGCTAGATCATCACTAAATCTAGTCTAGCTAGGCAGTAGATCTAGTTAGTTAACTGACTAACTCACTTTGTCATTTTGTGGTAGTTTGTCTAATGTAGAGAGTTAAAGAACTTCCCCTGACCTTTAAGATTACACTTTTCCTTTTGTAGTTACAACTTACATATTAGATTACACTTTCCCTAATGTGAGTTAGGTACCCATCAGAGTTGGGTGGACTCAGGGACAATCTACATTGTACAGGAACCAATGTTTTAATACAGGAACAAAGAATGGGTTTGGAAAACTCATTGTTTATTACAAAGTGAAGTTTCCTAAGTTATGTCTACTTGGAAAAAAAGTTCACAAAATGGTTTTAAGGAGATGAGAAATTTTAAGGAAAGAGCAGTGGAATTAATTCTTGTCTATAGTTTTAGGTACGTAAAATGGCCTGTGACTAGTAATGTGAAAAACAGGTGACTCCTTAAATTTTAATAATTATTTCACATTTTGAGGAGGATTTATGTTTTGAAAATTCAAAAATGTTTCCTTGTTTCATTTAGAATCTATGTAGAGTAAAGTTCCACGCGCGGTTAAAACACCGGTGCGGCCATCGCCTGTTTATCGCTTCGTACAATATTTGTTTTGATGTTTTATACGAAACTACCGATATCTGCTGTAAACCTGTCCATTTCTAAATATATCCAGGTCAAATTCTTTTGTTTTTCTCCTTCTGGAAGTCGAGTTTTTAAATTTTAAAGTTTCGAGGTATGACGTCGTAGGCGATTCTAGTTCCCCGTATGAAAAACACTAGGTCCCGGATGAGATGAATAAACCAACCTATCAAAGCTTTTTATAACTAGGTTAACTATAAATAGCTTCTACAATATGTGCGGGACACTATACATACGATAGATAAGGCTAATAAAGCAACCTGATAGGTGAATAGGGGTGGCCGCAGCTTGGGTGTCGATTTGGGTGGTTTCACAGCGCTGCGTAACCAACGACTTGAGCTAGACTAGCCTAGTTCTAGATGCTCTACATTTCAAGCTAAGCCTAGAAACTGTATAATTTCTATTTTTTTCTGCTATTTTAAATTATTTCGAGCATCTACTTCTTCTAAATCTAGTTTGTGTCTCTACATACAAGCATATCTAAGCAAATGTTACGTTATGTCTTGTCAGTGGTTGTTACGTCCCTTTGTTATGATTATTATAGTTGCGTCCCTTGAGTCATCACTGGGTCAACTTTTAATGTCGTTAATTAATTTAATTAACATGTTTTTAATTTGGTTTTGAAATCTATTAATTAATAATACAATCAACAACACGTTTAAAAGTGTAAAATATTAATTTTATTTATTAAACTAGGATTAAAACGTATAAAACACGATCGTTACGCAGCCGGTTCAAATGGCCGCAGGGAAAAAAAAAGAGGGGAAAAAAATATCGCAAGTAGCACGTCATTAAAACATGAATAGGTAATCCCTTAGTTTAGCGTCGGAAATTATCGGGTAATGTTTGTTGAGTTTCGGTAATTAGAGTTACGGTAAACCATGGTTTATTTGACCATTGAAATAATAATAAATTGAAAGTCGATTGTAGTAAATTAATGTTTTATTTTTTTAAGTTTAATCGACAAAAGGAAACAAGAATAAATATAATAGTAGATTTAAATTAGTAGATCTAAAAATAAAAACATATATTAATATAAATAATGTATCAAATGTAATAATTTAATGTTTTTGGCTTGCAGCGGATTTGCGACCATTAATTAATTAGATCTAGATCTAGCTAGATATCTAGCTGCTAGGCCAAGTAAAAAAATCTAGATTACGAAAATAGTAAAAATGATTACAAAATGTAAAAATGATTACAAAAATAAATCTATCCAAATTTTAAACATTCTGTATAAAAATAAAAGAAGACGCCAAATAAAGTATGGTTTACGGTACTTCCGGTGAATTCCGGAAGTGTGTGACAGACTTTGGCATTGTTTTACTGTTTTTTACTGCTATACGATTCCGGAATAATAACCGACGCTAAACTAAGGGATTACCCATGAATATCTCAAATTCAATACGTAGGAATATAAAATGATTGATACATATTAAGAGTAGAAAGGCAGAGGAATAATATAGTTATTTATAGTACTTTGGGTTTGTTTCTGTGTGAAATGGTTATAAAATAGCGCCCGATGAAAATCGGGAATTTGGAATTTTCCGCTATGTGTGACCGCGCGTGGAACTTTACTCTAGATCTAGAATCTACCTGTTTTAAGTTTTAGATTTTAGAGCTTAGGGCGGCCTTTTCTTAGGACTTTTTCAACTTTTTGTTTTTTAGTAATTTAGTAAGGTCAGAGCCCTAATAATCCTCACGATTCTAGTCCAGTACAGTACAAAACAGTTTAAAAAATTATAAAACTTCAAATATAATAACGAAATTTCTCTACTTACACATTGTTTTATACAAAAAACTCACTCTGGGGTCGAATTCCTCTGATTCCATTTTGTTTGTGTCTGTTCTATATCTATGCTTTATGGGGGCATCCATTATTAAATTTCTGCTATTTAAAATTTTTGTCCTTTATTTTATTTAATAAAACAAATATAAAGACTCAAACATAGCTAATTAATTTGCGGTGTAGCTTGTATTATATATGTTAAGAAATTATGGCAAATCTGCAATTTTAAGAATTTTTTTATCAATCGTGGAAGATAGATTAGTCTATATTGGAAATCATTACGATAATTTTCTCGTGTATGAATAATTTTTAAAATAATTCTTTTCGTCAAGGGCAGTAACCAAAATATATAAATTATAAACAGATCAATATCTTCAAGTGAAAATGGCTACTGCAGACTGGAATCCGCTTGGAGAAGTCTATTATAGGTTACCGTCTTATTATGAAACATTAAATGAGATTTCTAAAAATAGTCGTAATTTAAGTGAGAATAAAACAATCACAGCTTGATGCTTATATTTTTCTTAAATTACCTACTGGACAAATAAAAAAAAAAGATTGAACAAGGAGCCGCCCACTTTTAATTTTTTTAGGCCTACTTGAACTTTTATTTTAATATTTTTTTAACAATAGCATTGCATTATGATCATTAGTATCCATTAGGGCTCATTAGGCCTATTAAATATAAATAGATCTAGATCTATCTATATTAACAAAGTTAAAAAAAAATTCTCTACCTCTAGAAGCTAGATCTAAATCTAGATTCTAGAAGATTAAGAGATCTAGCCTCTATCTATATTCTATACTATACTCTATACTATACTTGAATTTAGTAGGCTTAATCAGTGGCGTAGCGAGGTCGGGTGTCACCCGGTGTGGCACTTAATGGTGTCACCCCCCAGAGGCATAGCGACCCTTTCCGGGGACAAACTTTCAAATTTTCGTTATGCACCCTCCTCTCAAAGTCAAACTTTTGATTTGCACCCCCTCCCCCTCAATCTTTTTCGAATTGAACCCCACCCCCTCAAGTTTTTCTCTATATATTTTGCTATTTTTTGCCTTGGTGTCACCCCCTAAATGGTGTCACCTGGTGCGGTCAACACCCCCCGCCCCCCCCCCCCCCGCTATGCCTCTGGGCTTAATAAAAATGATAATTACTATTTGGCTAAATTTTAAAATAAAGGTAGGCCTAGGCCTACTTAACTAATAATTAATAACTAATATCAATATGTTACTAGATCTACTTTTACTAGAGAGACTCTATGGATGGAGTATGGACTGTGAGAGTATTGTAGTGTTGTGACTAGAGTCTAGATTAGATTAAGTAAGAGACCGTAGTGTCTACTCTAAGGCAGCCAGAGTCTCAGTCTGACTGTGATGAGACTGTAGTAGTACTAGATCTAGTAGAGTGTTTGATATGATAAGTGTAGGTGTAGGACTAGAAAAAATCTAATAAAATCTAGGTCTAAATATAAAAAAAAAAAACAACTACTAGATTCTAAACTTGAGATCTTACGTTAGAATCTAAAGCTAGATCTATGGTATTCTGTATTTTAGTGTCTATTAGGTTTATTTATTTATAGTATAGGGTAGTGCATATTTCTGTGATAGAGTCATTGGTAGATAAAATAAGCAACCTGCTTATTTTTGCCAATGGGCTTTCAAGGAAATAAACACTGACTTACATCCTCTTATGGTAGATACATATTTCCTTAATTCAGTTTGAATTCTGTATAGCTCTCATACACTCCATAATGCTCTGGATAGCTGTCATATGCTCCATAATGCACTGGATAGCTGTCATACGCTCCATAATGCACTGGGATATCTGTCATACGTTCCATAATGCAGCCATGCCAACACTCCATACTAACCCCAAAATATAGATTTGTATAAAATCACCCAAACTTCCTTATAAATTGATGTTATACATTGATCACAATTAACTGAAATAAGCATGTTGTTTACTTTGTCTAAGTTGACCAAACTAAACATTTCCAGTTTTTTGGCCTAACTAGACATATATGTTTAAATAATTATAGCCATGTATAACATAATATAAAGATATATTTTTAATTTTCAGAAAATGTGAAATGTATGTGATGGATTGGAGTGGTCTGGTGGATCTGACAAAACACACAGTGGCTGCTTCAACATATGGGGGTCCTATAGGTGGGTTGTTCCTATCAAAATATGGGGGTCCTATAGGTGGGTTGTTCCTATCAACATATGGGGGTCCTATCAACATATGGGGGTCCTATAGGTGGGTTGTTCCTATCAACATATGGGGGGGGGGGGTTCTATAGGTGGGTTGTTCCTATCAACATATGGGGGTCATATGGATGGGTTGTTCCTATCAACATATGGGGGGGGGGGTTCTATAGGTGGGTTGTTCCTATCAACATATGGGGGGGGGGTTCTATAGGTGGGTTGTTCCTATCAACATATGGGGGGGGGGGGGGTTCTATAGGTGGGTTGTTCCTATCAACATATGGGGGGGGGGGTTCTATAGGTGGGTTGTTCCTATCAACATATGGGGGGGGGGGTTCTATAGGTGGGTTGTTCCTATCAGATCTTTAAATTAAAGTAACTCCACTCTAGCACATCTAACTCAAATTTGTTGCAATCAGTTTCTTTTGTCTCAAATTTGTTGCAATCAGTTTCTTTTGTCTCAAATTTGTTGCAATCAGTTTCTTTTGTCTTGAAATCCATGAATTAAAAATAGTTTATCAATATGTAATATATAAATATGTGTGTATGTATAAGCTGGTGCCATGTCATACAGAAAGACATATGTAATGGCTGATGCTGTTTGTTATTGTATCAGTGCCGTACATTTTAAAGTCACCCAGTATGTGAAACAGCCTGACATTTTCAGCACTACTGAAGGATGACAGTAAAACTAGCAGAGTTGTGACGTCAGTCAAGCCTGTCATCTCTGTATACACAGCCTCAGGGAAAATACTGAGTCAGCTCAGGGTAAACCTCTCATCTGTCTTTATGTTTCTCTTTATGTAAGTGGCTCTTTATGTTTCTCTTTATGTAAGTGGCTCTTTATGTTCGTCTTTTCCAGTGTGTGACAATTGTTGTATTCCTGTGTGTGATGAGTGTTGTATTTCCAGTGTGTGATGAGTGTTGTATATCCTGTGTGTGATGAGTGTTGAATTTCCAGTGTGTGGCAATTGTTGTATTTCCAGTGTGTGACGAATGTTGTATTTCCTGTGTGTGACAAATGTTGTATATCCTGTGTGTGACGAGTGTTGTATTTCCAGTGGAACAGTGGCAACATCGTGGCCATGGGATGGTCCAGCACGGATGACCTGCTCTGTGTCCAGGAGGATGGGGTCGTCCTGGTCTACGACATGTTCCTTGTCTTCAAGCGCACTTTCAGCATGGGTCAGGTGGGTTATTGGGTCAGGTGGGTTACTGGGTCAGGTGGGTCACTGGGTCAGGTGGGTTATTGGGTCAGGTGGTTTATTGGGTCAGGTAGGTCACCGGGTCAGGTGGGTTATTGGGTCAGGTGGTTTATTGGGTCAGGTAGGTCACTGGGTCAGGTGGGTTATTGGGTCAGGTGGGTTATTGGGTCAGGTGGGTTATTGGGTTAGGTGGGTCACTGGGTCAGGTGGGTTGCATACAACTTTTTACTTAATTCCTGTATTGTGACTTTTGATATTTGTATTTTCCTTACCCCCAGGAAGCAAAAGATGTTAAAATCTTATTTGCTAAAATTTTCCCAACATTCCAAGGCACTGGTATAGCTGTGATGACTACGTCCTTCAGAATTTTCATGATCAGTAGCATTGACAACCCAAGGATAGTACGTCTTGCTGAGGTACCTGGTGAGTCCATTAGCTACCTGTCAGTGTAGCTGTAGCCACCTGTAGTTGACAGGGTAGCCTGTAGCCACCTGTCAATGTAGCCTTTAGCCACCTGTAGTTGACAGGGTAGCCTGCAGCCGCTTGTAGTTGACAGAGTAGCCTGTAGCCACCTGACAGGGTAGCCTGTAGCCACCTGACAGGGTAGCCTGTAGCCACCTGACAGGGTAGCCTGTAGCCACCTGACAGGGTAGCCTGTAGCTACCTGACAGGGTAGCCTGTAGCTACCTGTAGTTGACAGGGTAGCCTGTAGCTACCTGACAGGGTAGCCTGTAGCCACCTGTCAATGTAGCCTTTAGCCACCTGTAGTTGACAGGGTAGCCTGTAGCCACCTGACAGTGTAGCCTGTAGCCACCTGATAGGGTAGCCTGTAGTTGACAGGGTAGCCTGTAGCTACCTGTAGTTGACAGGGTAGCCTGTAGCTACCTGACAGGGTAGCCTGTAGCTACCTGTAGTTGACAGGGTAGCCTGTAGCTACCTGACAGGGTAGCCTGTAGCTACCTGTAGTTGACAGGAAATCCTGTAGCCACCTGACAGTGTAGCCTGTAGCCACCTGATAGGGTAGCCTGTAGTTGACAGGGTAGCCTGTAGCTACCTGACAGGGTAGCCTGTAGCTACCTGTAGTTGACAGGAAATCCTGTAGCTACATGTCAGTGTAGCCTGTAGCCACCTGTAGTTGACAGGGTAGCCTGCAGCCGCTTGTAGTTGACAGAGTAGCCTGTAGCCACCTGACAGGGTAGCCTGTAGCCACCTGTCAATGTAGCCTTTAGCCACCTGTAGTTGACAGGGTAGCCTGTAGCCACCTGACAGTGTAGCCTGTAGCCACCTGATAGGGTAGCCTGTAGTTGACAGGGTAGCCTGTAGCCACCTGACAGGGTAGCCTGTAGTTGACAGGGTAGCCTGTAGCTACCTGACAGGGTAGCCTGTAGCTACCTGACAGGGTAGCCTGTAGCCACCTGTAGTTGACAGGGTAGCCTGTAGCTACCTGATAGGGTAGCCTGTAATCACCTGTAGTTGACAGGGTAGCCTGTAGCTACCTGACAGGGTAGCCTGTAATCACCTGTAGTTGACAGGGTAGCCTATAGCCACTGATGTTGCTAACATTGAGCACTTGATTGTTTTGAAGGACTTAACGAGGCCCCCACCTGTTGGACCATGGTTGTAGCTGACCGTCTGGTGCGTGCGCTTGTGGCCAAGGGAGAAGATCTGTTCCTGGTGGATCAGGGGGGACAATTCCAGCAACAGGTGGGTCTAATGACTGGTGGATCAGGGGGGACAATTCCAGCAACAGGTGGGTCTAATGATTGGTGGATCAGGGGGGACAATTCCAGCATCAGGTGGGTCTAATGATTGTTCCTGGTGGATCAGGGGGGACAATTCCAGCAACAGGTGGGTCTAATGACTGGTGGATCAGGGGGGACAATTCCAGCAACAGGTGGGTCTAATGATTGTTCCTGGTGGATCAGGGGGGACAATTCCAGCATCAGGTGGGTCTAATGATTGTTCCTGGTGGATCAGGGGGGACAATTCCAGCAACAGGTGGGTCTAATGACTGGTGGATCAGGGGGGACAATTCCAGCAACAGGTGGGTCTAATCATTGGTGGATCAGGGGGGACAATTCCAGCAACAGGTGGGTCTAATCATTGGTGGATCAGGGGGGACAATTCCAGCAACAGGTGGGTCTAATGACTGGTGGATCAGGGGGGACAATTCCAGCAACAGGTGGGTCTAATCATTGGTGGATCAGGGGGGACAATTCCAGCAACAGGTGGGTCTAATGACTGGTGGATCAGGGGGGACAATTCCAGCAACAGGTGGGTCTAATGATTGTTGGATCAGGGGGGGACAATTCCAGCAACAGGTGGGTCTAATGACTGGTGGATCAGGGGGGACAATTCCAGCAACAGGTGGGTCTAATGACTGGTGGATCAGGGGGGACAATTCCAGCAACAGGTGGGTCTAATGACTGGTGGATCAGGGGGGACAATTCCAGCAACAGGTGGGTCTAATGATTGGTGGATCAGGGGGGACAATTCCAGCAACAGGTGGGTCTAATGATTGTTCCTGGTGGATCAGGGGGGACAATTCCAGCAACAGGTGGGTCTAATGACTGGTGGATCAGGGGGGACAATTCCAGCAACAGGTGGGTCTAATGACTGGTGGATCAGGGGGGACAATTCCAGCAACAGGTGGGTCTAATGACTGGTGGATCAGGGGGGACAATTCCAGCAACAGGTGGGTCTAATGATTGTTCCTGGTGGATCAGGGGGGACAATTCCAGCAACAGGTGGGTCTAATGATTGGTGGATCAGGGGGGACAATTCCAGCAACAGGTGGGTCTAATGATTGTTCCTGGTGGATCAGGGGGGACAATTCCAGCAACAGGTGGGTCTAATGACTGGTGGATCAGGGGGGACAATTCCAGCAACAGGTGGGTCTAATGACTGGTGGATCAGGGGGGACAATTCCAGCAACAGGTGGGTCTAATGACTGGTGGATCAGGGGGGACAATTCCAGCAACAGGTGGGTCTAATGACTGGTGGATCAGGGGGGACAATTCCAGCATCAGGTGGGTCTATTGACTGGTGGATCAGGGGGGACAATTCCAGCAACAGGTGGGTCTAATGATTGTTCCTGGTGGATCAGGGGGGACAATTCCAGCAACAGGTGGGTCTAATGATTGTTCCTGGTGGATCAGGGGGGACAATTCCAGCAACAGGTGGGTCTAATGATTGGTGGATCAGGGGGGACAATTCCAGCAACAGGTGGGTCTAATGACTGGTGGATCAGGGGGGACAATTCCAGCAACAGGTGGGTCTAATGACTGGTGGATCAGGGGGGACAATTCCAGCAACAGGTGGGTCTAATGACTGTTCCTGGTGGATCAGGGGGGACAATTCCAGCAACAGGTGGGTCTAATGACTGTTCCTGGTGGATCAGGGGGGACAATTCCAGCAACAGGTGGGTCTAATGACTGTTCCTGGTGGATCAGGGGGGACAATTCCAGCAACAGGTGGGTCTAATGACTGTTCCTGGTGGATCAGGGGGGACAATTCCAGCAACAGGTGGGTCTAATGACTGGTGGATCAGGGGGGACAATTCCAGCAACAGGTGGGTCTAATGACTGGTGGATCAGGGGGGACAATTCCAGCAACAGGTGGGTCTAATGATTGTTCCTGGTGGATCAGGGGGGACAATTCCAGCAACAGGTGGGTCTAATGACTGGTGGATCAGGGGGGACAATTCCAGCATCAGGTGGGTCTAATGACTGGTGGATCAGGGGGGACAATTCCAGCATCAGGTGGGTCTAATGATTGTTCCTGGTGGATCAGGGGGGACAATTCCAGCAACAGGTGGGTCTAATGACTGGTGGATCAGGGGGGACAATTCCAGCAACAGGTGGGTCTAATGACTGGTGGATCAGGGGGGACAATTCCAGCATCAGGTGGGTCTAATGATTGTTCCTGGTGGATCAGGGGGGACAATTCCAGCAACAGGTGGGTCTAATGACTGGTGGATCAGGGGGGACAATTCCAGCAACAGGTGGGTCTAATGATTGTTCCTGGTGGATCAGGGGGGACAATTCCAGCAACAGGTGGGTCTAATGATTGTTCCTGGTGGATCAGGGGGGACAATTCCAGCAACAGGTGGGTCTAATGATTGTTCCTGGTGGATCAGGGGGGACAATTCCAGCAACAGGTGGGTCTAATGATTGTTCCTGGTGGATCAGGGGGGACAATTCCAGCAACAGGTGGGTCTAATGATTGTTCCTGGTGGATCAGGGGGGACAATTCCAGCAACAGGTGGGTCTAATGATTGGTGGATCAGGGGGGACAATTCCAGCAACAGGTGGGTCTATTGACTGGTGGATCAGGGGGGACAATTCCAGCAACAGGTGGGTCTAATGACTGGTGGATCAGGGGGGACAATTCCAGCAACAGGTGGGTCTATTGACTGGTGGATCAGGGGGGACAATTCCAGCAACAGGTGGGTCTAATGATTGTTCCTGGTGGATCAGGGGGGACAATTCCAGCAACAGGTGGGTCTAATGATTGTTCCTGGTGGATCAGGGGGGACAATTCCAGCAACAGGTGGGTCTAATGATTGTTCCTGGTGGATCAGGGGGGACAATTCCAGCAACAGGTGGGTCTAATGACTGGTGGATCAGGGGGGACAATTCCAGCAACAGGTGGGTCTAATGACTGGTGGATCAGGGGGGACAATTCCAGCAACAGGTGGGTCTAATGATTGGTGGATCAGGGGGGACAATTCCAGCAACAGGTGGGTCTAATGACTGGTGGATCAGGGGGGACAATTCCAGCAACAGGTGGGTCTAATGATTGTTCCTGGTGGATCAGGGGGGACAATTCCAGCATCAGGTGGGTCTAATGATTGTTCCTGGTGGATCAGGGGGGACAATTCCAGCAACAGGTGGGTCTAATGACTGGTGGATCAGGGGGGACAATTCCAGCAACAGGTGGGTCTAATGATTGTTCCTGGTGGATCAGGGGGGACAATTCCAGCAACAGGTGGGTCTAATGATTGTTCCTGGTGGATCAGGGGGGACAATTCCAGCAACAGGTGGGTCTAATGATTGTTCCTGGTGGATCAGGGGGGACAATTCCAGCAACAGGTGGGTCTAATGATTGTTCCTGGTGGATCAGGGGGGACAATTCCAGCATCAGGTGGGTCTAATGATTGTTCCTGGTGGATCAGGGGGGGACAATTCCAGCAACAGGTGGGTCTAATGACTGGTGGATCAGGGGGGACAATTCCAGCAACAGGTGGGTCTAATGATTGTTCCTGGTGGATCAGGGGGGACAATTCCAGCAACAGGTGGGTCTATTGACTGGTGGATCAGGGGGGACAATTCCAGCAACAGGTGGGTCTAATGATTGTTCCTGGTGGATCAGGGGGGACAATTCCAGCAACAGGTGGGTCTAATGATTGTTCCTGGTGGATCAGGGGGGACAATTCCAGCAACAGGTGGGTCTAATGATTGTTCCTGGTGGATCAGGGGGGACAATTCCAGCAACAGGTGGGTCTAATGACTGGTGGATCAGGGGGGACAATTCCAGCAACAGGTGGGTCTAATGACTGGTGGATCAGGGGGGACAATTCCAGCATCAGGTGGGTCTAATGACTGGTGGATCAGGGGGGACAATTCCAGCATCAGGTGGGTCTAATGATTGTTCCTGGTGGATCAGGGGGGACAATTCCAGCAACAGGTGGGTCTAATGACTGGTGGATCAGGGGGGACAATTCCAGCATCAGGTGGGTCTAATGACTGGTGGATCAGGGGGGACAATTCCAGCATCAGGTGGGTCTAATGATTGTTCCTGGTGGATCAGGGGGGACAATTCCAGCAACAGGTGGGTCTAATGACTGGTGGATCAGGGGGGACAATTCCAGCAACAGGTGGGTCTAATGATTGTTCCTGGTGGATCAGGGGGGACAATTCCAGCAACAGGTGGGTCTAATGACTGGTGGATCAGGGGGGACAATTCCAGCAACAGGTGGGTCTATTGACTGGTGGATCAGGGGGGACAATTCCAGCATCAGGTGGGTCTAATGACTGGTGGATCAGGGGGGACAATTCCAGCATCAGGTGGGTCTAATGATTGTTCCTGGTGGATCAGGGGGGACAATTCCAGCAACAGGTGGGTCTAATGACTGGTGGATCAGGGGGGGACAATTCCAGCATCAGGTGGGTCTAATGACTGGTGGATCAGGGGGGACAATTCCAGCATCAGGTGGGTCTAATGATTGTTCCTGGTGGATCAGGGGGGACAATTCCAGCAACAGGTGGGTCTAATGACTGTTCCTGGTGGATCAGGGGGGACAATTCCAGCAACAGGTGGGTCTAATGACTGGTGGATCAGGGGGGACAATTCCAGCAACAGGTGGGTCTAATGACTGGTGGATCAGGGGGGACAATTCCAGCAACAGGTGGGTCTAATGATTGTTCCTGGTGGATCAGGGGGGACAATTCCAGCAACAGGTGGGTCTAATGATTGTTCCTGGTGGATCAGGGGGGACAATTCCAGCAACAGGTGGGTCTAATGACTGGTGGATCAGGGGGGACAATTCCAGCAACAGGTGGGTCTAATGACTGGTGGATCAGGGGGGACAATTCCAGCAACAGGTGGGTCTAATGATTGGTGGATCAGGGGGGACAATTCCAGCAACAGGTGGGTCTAATCATTGTTCCTGGTGGATCAGGGGGGACAATTCCAGCGACAGGTGGGTCTATTGACTGGTGGATCAGGGGGGACAATTCCAGCAACAGGTGGGTCTAATGATTGTTCCTGGTGGATCAGGGGGGACAATTCCAGCAACAGGTGGGTCTAATGATTGTTCCTGGTGGATCAGGGGGGACAATTCCAGCAACAGGTGGGTCTAATGACTGGTGGATCAGGGGGGACAATTCCAGCAACAGGTGGGTCTAATGATTGTTCCTGGTGGATCAGGGGGGACAATTCCAGCAACAGGTGGGTCTAATGACTGGTGGATCAGGGGGGACAATTCCAGCAACAGGTGGGTCTAATGATTGGTGGATCAGGGGGGACAATTCCAGCAACAGGTGGGTCTAATCATTGTTCCTGGTGGATCAGGGGGACAATTCCAGCGACAGGTGGGTCTATTGACTGGTGGATCAGGGGGGACAATTCCAGCATCAGGTGGGTCTAATGACTGGTGGATCAGGGGGGACAATTCCAGCAACAGGTGGGTCTAATGACTGGTGGATCAGGGGGGACAATTCCAGCAACAGGTGGGTCTAATGATTGTTGGATCAGGGGGGGACAATTCCAGCGACAGGTGGGTCTAATGACTGTTCCTGGTGGATCAGGGGGGACAATTCCAGCAACAGGTGGGTCTAATGACTGTTCCTGGTGGATCAGGGGGGACAATTCCAGCGACAGGTGGGTCTATTGACTGGTGGATCAGGGGGGACAATTCCAGCATCAGGTGGGTCTAATGATTGTTCCTGGTGGATCAGGGGGGACAATTCCAGCAACAGGTGGGTCTATTGACTGGTGGATCAGGGGGGACAATTCCAGCATCAGGTGGGTCTAATGATTGTTCCTGGTGGATCAGGGGGGACAATTCCAGCAACAGGTGGGTCTAATGACTGGTGGATCAGGGGGGACAATTCCAGCAACAGGTGGGTCTAATGATTGTTCCTGGTGGATCAGGGGGGACAATTCCAGCAACAGGTGGGTCTAATGACTGGTGGATCAGGGGGGACAATTCCAGCATCAGGTGGGTCTAATGATTGTTCCTGGTGGATCAGGGGGGACAATTCCAGCAACAGGTGGGTCTAATGATTGTTCCTGGTGGATCAGGGGGGACAATTCCAGCAACAGGTGGGTCTAATGACTGGTGGATCAGGGGGGACAATTCCAGCATCAGGTGGGTCTAATGATTGTTCCTGGTGGATCAGGGGGGACAATTCCAGCAACAGGTGGGTCTAATGATTGTTCCTGGTGGATCAGGGGGGACAATTCCAGCAACAGGTGGGTCTAATGACTGGTGGATCAGGGGGGACAATTCCAGCATCAGGTGGGTCTAATGATTGTTCCTGGTGGATCAGGGGGGACAATTCCAGCAACAGGTGGGTCTAATGATTGTTCCTGGTGGATCAGGGGGGACAATTCCAGCATCAGGTGGGTCTAATGATTGTTCCTGGTGGATCAGGGGGGACAATTCCAGCATCAGGTGGGTCTAATGATTGGTGGATCAGGGGGGACAATTCCAGCAACAGGTGGGTCTAATGATTGTTCCTGGTGGATCAGGGGGGACAATTCCAGCATCAGGTGGGTCTAATGACTGGTGGATCAGGGGGGACAATTCCAGCAACAGGTGGGTCTAATGACTGGTGGATCAGGGGGGACAATTCCAGCAACAGGTGGGTCTAATGATTGTTCCTGGTGGATCAGGGGGGACAATTCCAGCAACAGGTGGGTCTAATGACTGGTGGATCAGGGGGGACAATTCCAGCATCAGGTGGGTCTAATGATTGTTCCTGGTGGATCAGGGGGGACAATTCCAGCAACAGGTGGGTCTAATGATTGGTGGATCAGGGGGGACAATTCCAGCAACAGGTGGGTCTAATGATTGGTGGATCAGGGGGGACAATTCCAGCAACAGGTGGGTCTAATGATTGGTGGATCAGGGGGGACAATTCCAGCAACAGGTGGGTCTAATGATTGGTGGATCAGGGGGGACAATTCCAGCAACAGGTGGGTCTAATGACTGGTGGATCAGGGGGGACAATTCCAGCAACAGGTGGGTCTAATGATTGGTGGATCAGGGGGGACAATTCCAGCAACAGGTGGGTCTAATGACTGGTGGATCAGGGGGGACAATTCCAGCAACAGGTGGGTCTAATGACTGGTGGATCAGGGGGGACAATTCCAGCAACAGGTGGGTCTAATGATTGGTGGATCAGGGGGGACAATTCCAGCAACAGGTGGGTCTAATGACTGGTGGATCAGGGGGGACAATTCCAGCAACAGGTGGGTCTAATGACTGGTGGATCAGGGGGGACAATTCCAGCAACAGGTGGGTCTAATGACTGGTGGATCAGGGGGGACAATTCCAGCAACAGGTGGGTCTAATCATTGTTCCTGGTGGATCAGGGGGGACAATTCCAGCGACAGGTGGGTCTATTGACTGGTGGATCAGGGGGGACAATTCCAGCAACAGGTGGGTCTAATGATTGTTCCTGGTGGATCAGGGGGGACAATTCCAGCAACAGGTGGGTCTAATGACTGGTGGATCAGGGGGGGACAATTCCAGCAACAGGTGGGTCTATTGACTGGTGGATCAGGGGGGACAATTCCAGCATCAGGTGGGTCTAATGATTGTTCCTGGTGGATCAGGGGGGACAATTCCAGCATCAGGTGGGTCTATTGACTGGTGGATCAGGGGGGACAATTCCAGCAACAGGTGGGTCTATTGACTGGTGGATCAGGGGGGACAATTCCAGCAACAGGTGGGTCTAATGATTGTTCCTGGTGGATCAGGGGGGACAATTCCAGCAACAGGTGGGTCTATTGACTGGTGGATCAGGGGGGACAATTCCAGCAACAGGTGGGTCTAATGATTGTTCCTGGTGGATCAGGGGGGACAATTCCAGCAACAGGTGGGTCTATTGACTGGTGGATCAGGGGGGACAATTCCAGCAACAGGTGGGTCTAATGACTGGTGGATCAGGGGGGACAATTCCAGCAACAGGTGGGTCTAATGACTGGTGGATCAGGGGGGACAATTCCAGCAACAGGTGGGTCTAATGACTGGTGGATCAGGGGGGACAATTCCAGCAACAGGTGGGTCTAATGATTGGTGGATCAGGGGGGACAATTCCAGCAACAGGTGGGTCTAATGATTGTTCCTGGTGGATCAGGGGGGACAATTCCAGCAACAGGTGGGTCTAATGATTGGTGGATCAGGGGGGACAATTCCAGCAACAGGTGGGTCTAATGATTGTTCCTGGTGGATCAGGGGGGACAATTCCAGCAACAGGTGGGTCTATTGACTGGTGGATCAGGGGGGACAATTCCAGCAACAGGTGGGTCTATTGACTGGTGGATCAGGGGGGACAATTCCAGCAACAGGTGGGTCTAATGACTGGTGGATCAGGGGGGACAATTCCAGCAACAGGTGGGTCTAATGATTGTTCCTGGTGGATCAGGGGGGACAATTCCAGCATCAGGTGGGTCTAATGATTGGTGGATCAGGGGGGACAATTCCAGCAACAGGTGGGTCTAATGATTGTTCCTGGTGGATCAGGGGGGACAATTCCAGCAACAGGTGGGTCTAATGATTGTTCCTGGTGGATCAGGGGGGACAATTCCAGCAACAGGTGGGTCTAATGACTGGTGGATCAGGGGGGACAATTCCAGCAACAGGTGGGTCTAATGACTGGTGGATCAGGGGGGACAATTCCAGCATCAGGTGGGTCTAATGATTGTTCCTGGTGGATCAGGGGGGACAATTCCAGCAACAGGTGGGTCTATTGACTGGTGGATCAGGGGGGACAATTCCAGCAACAGGTGGGTCTAATGACTGGTGGATCAGGGGGGACAATTCCAGCATCAGGTGGGTCTAATGATTGTTCCTGGTGGATCAGGGGGGACAATTCCAGCAACAGGTGGGTCTAATGACTGGTGGATCAGGGGGGACAATTCCAGCAACAGGTGGGTCTAATGACTGGTGGATCAGGGGGGACAATTCCAGCAACAGGTGGGTCTAATGATTGTTCCTGGTGGATCAGGGGGGACAATTCCAGCAACAGGTGGGTCTAATGACTGGTGGATCAGGGGGGACAATTCCAGCAACAGGTGGGTCTAATGACTGGTGGATCAGGGGGGACAATTCCAGCATCAGGTGGGTCTAATGACTGGTGGATCAGGGGGGACAATTCCAGCAACAGGTGGGTCTAATGACTGGTGGATCAGGGGGGACAATTCCAGCAACAGGTGGGTCTAATGATTGGTGGATCAGGGGGGACAATTCCAGCAACAGGTGGGTCTAATGATTGTTCCTGGTGGATCAGGGGGGACAATTCCAGCAACAGGTGGGTCTAATGATTGGTGGATCAGGGGGGACAATTCCAGCAACAGGTGGGTCTAATGATTGCAAGCACTTGATTCCATTTTGTGCGCTGATTTTCTTTCTTCACAAAATGTGTCATGTCAACCCTAGAGTTGAAACAAACTGTGATTCCTCATGGCCACCATTGTTTCCCCTAGCAACCAGAGCTGGGTGAAAATGCTGGAGCCATCACAGAGATGGCCTTGTCTTTCAACCACAAGTATCTGGCCTTGTTCACACAGAGAGGCTACATCTGGATAGGAACAGCAGACCTACAGGTGGGGGCCAGGCAGCTCGCTCTATCTGGGGAGGATGACACTCTATATCAGGGGGGGGGGGTGCAAACACTCTGCTCACTCTATCTGGGGGGGTAACACTCTACTCACTCTATCAGGGGGGGGGTGCAAACACTCTTCTCACTCTATCTGGGGTGGGGTCATGTTGCTCTGAGGTCCTATATTTAAAATTTTTAACTGAAAATTCGTTATGAGTTTTACAGTCCTTTAAATTTCTGACAGAAAAAATTTTGTGAGTTTTACAGTCCTTTAAATTTTTAACAGAAAAAATTTTGTGAGTTTTACAGTCCTTTAAATTTTTAACAGAAAAAATTTTGTGAGTTTTACAGTCCTTTATTTTAAATTTCTGACAGAAAAAATTTTGTGAGTTTTACACCAAATCTGAACTTCAGCCTCAGCAGCTTGTCTGGTAAGTTTTAATTTTACTGGACAGGAATAGAATTTTTTAGTGGACAGGAATAGAATTTTTTAGTGGACAGGAATAGAATTTTTTACTGGACAGGAATAGAATTTTTTAGTGGACATGAATAGAATTTTTAGATACAGTTTACTAGATTGAAATTTTCATTTCATCTTGATGTAAAGCTACACATGTAATGTTGGAGGTTTTCTTTTGACAAAGTTCAGAATTAACCCTTTGCAATCCAAAAGAATTTTGAGGTTAATTTTATTTTTATTATTAAAAACTTTCATTTACAGCATGCAATAGTTGTGTCATTATGTTGTAGTTGTGTCAAGTTGTAGGTGTGTCATTATGTTGTAGTTGTGTCATTATGTTGTAGGTGTGTCATTATGTTGTAGTTGTGTCATTATGTTGTAGGTGTGTCATTATGTTGTAGGTGTGTCATTATGTTGTAGTTGTGTCATTATGTTGTAGTTGTGTCATTATGTTGTAGTTGTGTCATTATGTTGTAGTTGTGTCATTATGTTGTAGTTGTGTCATTATGTTGTAGGTGTGTCATTATGTTGTAGGTGTGTCATTATGTTGTAGTTGTGTCATTATGTTGTAGTTGTGTCATTATGTTGTAGTTGTGTCATTATGTTGTAGTTGTGTCATTATGTTGTAGTTGTGTCATTATGTTGTAGGTGTGTCATTATGTTGTAGTTGTGTCATTATGTTGTAGTTGTGTCATTATGTTGTAGGTGTGTCAAGTTGTAGTTGTGTCATTATGTTGTAGGTGTGTCATTATGTTGTAGGTGTGTCATTATGTTGTAGTTGTGTCATTATGTTGTAGGTGTGTCAAGTTGTAGTTGTGTCATTATGTTGTAGTTGTGTCAAGTTGTAGTTGTGTCATTATGTTGTAGTTGTGTCATGATGTTGTAGTTGTGTCATTATGTTGTAGGTGTGTCATTATGTTGTAGTTGTGTCATTATGTTGTAGTTGTGTCATTATGTTGTAGTTGTGTCATTATGTTGTAGTTGTGTCATTATGTTGTAGTTGTGTCATTATGTTGTAGTTGTGTCATTATGTTGTAGTTGTGTCATTATGTTGTAGGTGTGTCATTATGTTGTAGGTGTGTCATTATGTTGTAGTTGTGTCATTATGTTGTAGTTGTGTCATTATGTTGTAGTTGTGTCATTATGTTGTAGTTGTGTCATTATGTTGTAGTTGTGTCATTATGTTGTAGTTGTGTCATTATGTTGTAGGTGTATCATTATGTTGTAGGTGTGTCATTATGTTGTAGGTGTGTCATTATGTTGTAGGTGTATCATTATGTTGTAGTTGTGTCATTATGTTGTAGTTGTGTCATTATGTTGTAGTTGTGTCATTATGTTGTAGGTGTGTCAAGTTGTAGTTGTGTCATTATGTTGTAGGTGTGTCATTATGTTGTAGGTGTGTCATTATGTTGTAGTTGTGTCATTATGTTGTAGTTGTGTCATTATGTTGTAGGTGTGTCATTATGTTGTAGGTGTGTCATTATGTTGTAGTTGTGTCATTATGTTGTAGGTGTGTCATTATGTTGTAGTTGTGTCATTATGTTGTAGGTGTGTCAAGTTGTAGTTGTGTCATTATGTTGTAGTTGTGTCATTATGTTGTAGGTGTGTCATTATGTTGTAGTTGTGTCATTATGTTGTAGTTGTGTCATTATGTTGTAGTTGTGTCATTATGTTGTAGTTGTGTCATTATGTTGTAGTTGTGTCATTATGTTGTAGTTGTGTCATTATGTTGTAGGTGTGGTATTGGCGCTGTTGTTGGACTGTGGGACACATTGATGCTGGTAGTTGGACCAGATAAAGACTGGATAAGGTAAGTGGATTTATGGATTGCCCTCACCTCTTGGGATGGATACCACTAACTATCTAGTTTAAAAACAATGTGTTGATGATGTGAATGGATGCCAGTAAAGCCCTAGTGAAAGCAAAATGTTTTGCAGAGGTGAATGGATGCTATGCTATACCTAATGAAAGCAAAATGTGTTGATGATGTGAATGGATGCTATGAAATACCTAATGAAAGCAAAATGTGTTGATGTGAATGGATGCTATGAAATACCTAATGAAAGCAAAATGTGTTGATGTGAATGGATGCTATGAAATACCTAATGAAAGCAAAATGTGTTGATGTGAATGGATGCCAGTAAAGCCCTAATGAAATCAAAATGTGTTGATGATGTGAATGGATGCTATGAAATACCTAATGAAAGCAAAATGTGTTGATGATGTGAATGGATGCTATGAAATACCTAATGAAAGCAAAATGTGTTGATGTGAATGGATGCTATGAAATACCTAATGAAAGCAAAATGTGTTGATGATGTGAATGGATGCTATGAAATACCTAATGAAAGCAAAATGTGTTGATGATGTGAATGGATGCTATGAAATACCTAATGAAAGCAAAATGTGTTGGTGTGAATGGATGCTATGAAATACCTAATGAAAGCAAAATGTGTTGGTGTGAATGGATGCTATGAAATACCTAATGAAAGCAAAATGTGTTGATGATGTGAATGGATGTCAGTTAAGCCCTAATGAAAAATGTTTCAGATACAAGATGGACACAGCAGTTCATCTACTGCAGGAAGAAGATGGATTGCGCATTATTGGGAATGAAACTCATGAATTTTTGCAAAAAATTCCAAGTCAGTGTCTTCTAGAGCCTGGAACTTATTCATTAGCAAAATTAAATTTATGAACTCCTAAATAATAATTAGGCATTAATTAAATATATGAAGTATGTTAAAATATCAGCCAAACTTTTGATGATCTCACGGTTGACTTATTTTATTATTCTAGCTGTTACGGAGCAGATTTTCAAGATTGGCTCAATGGAGCCAGGAGCCATGCTGTATGAAGCTAACAAAGAGTTTCAGGTACATGTCATGTCTGTTGGTTGACATAAATGTCATTTTCATGTCATGTCTGTTGGTTGACATCATAGATGTCATTTACATGTCATGTTTGTTGGCTGACACAATAAATGACATTACATGTCATGTCTGTTGGTTGATATAGATGTCAGGTACTTGTCATGTCTGTTTTTGTTTTAGGTTTGCCAACTTGTATCTTTTAGAAACAGCAAAATTTTAGCTATGTTTTTATTTGAAATGTTGAACTGTTTAGCGCCGCAGCCAAAAGGCAGATGAGTACATCAGGATGATCAAAGACAAACTGGACGTGGCGGTCAACCAGTGCATCGCTGCTGCCGGACATGAGGTCGAGTCATCCAAGCAGAAACTGCTGCTGCGGGTTAGTGACTCCAGCACACTGTGACTTTAACATGACTTCAACATGACTTTAACATGACTTTAACATGACTTTAACATGACTTCAACATGACTTTAACATGACTTCAGCATGACTTAAACATGACTTTAACATGACTTCAACATGACTTCAACATGACTTCAACATGACTTCAACATGACTGACTTCAACATGACTGACTTCAACATGACTTCAACATGACTGACTTCAACATGACTTCAACATGACTTTAACATGACTTTAACATGACTTTAACATGACTTCAACATGACTTTAACATGACTTCAACATGACTTTAACATGACTTCAACATGACTTCAACATGACTTCAGCATGACTTCAACATGACTTCAACATGACTTCAACATGACTTCAACATGACTTCAACATGACTTCAACATGACTTCAACATGACTTTAACATGACTTCAACATGACTTCAACATGACTTCAACATGACTTCAGCATGACTTCAACATGACTTTAACATGACTTCAGCATGACTTCAACATGACTTCATCATGACTTCAACATGACTTCAACATGACTTCAGCATGACTTCAACATGACTTCAACATGACTTCAACATGACTTCAGCATGACTTCAGCATGACTTCAACATGACTTCAGCATGACTTCAACATGACTTCAACATGACTTCAACATGACTTCAACATGACTTCAACATGACTTCAGCATAACTTCAACATGACTTCAACATGACTTCAACATGACTTTAACATGACTTTAACATGACTTCAACATGACTTCAACATGACTGACTTCAACATGACTTCAACATGACTTTAACATGACTTTAACATGACTTCAACATGGCTTCAATGACTTATTATAAACAATGTTACAATGTTTGTATTTGATAGAGTTACCTCCTTTTAAAACTGCCATGTAACAGCAGCAATGTCAATTGTTTTCAGTTAGACTGTAATCAGCTGTTTGTAATCAGCTGTTTGTAATCAGCTGTTTCCTTTTGAAGAAAATTGTATGCCAATATTTTTTCCACACACTGGAGTTATTTGATAAAACTCAGTGAAGCTTTTCTGCAGATTGTCTTATTTTTCTTTTGCCAAAAAGAGATGGCAAAATTATTTAAATTACTATTTTATGTTTGAAGTGGTGCAGAGACGTGCAAAGTTCTAGTATAGAGATATCAAATCTTGTTGAACTCAATCTTACGGACACGCTTTCGTCTCCATAATGCTAAACCACCTTGTACAAGCTAAAATGTGCGTACAACTGGTGACCTTGTGAGCAAGGTTATGTTTAAGCTGTCTATTTGAAAATTTGTTTTTAAGGTGGAAATTTCAGTTTATAGATACACCCCATTTAGTTTATAGATACACCCCATTGTTGAAGAAATGCTAAGACCAGGCTGCCTGCTTTGTGACCTTGCTAATTGTGACCTTGACCTTGCAGGCTGCCTGCTTTGGGAAATGTTTCCTGACTGACTACAGGCCGGAGTCTTTTGTCAACATGTGCAAGATGCTGAGGGTTCTAAACCAAGTCAGGCATCATTCAGTGGGCATACCCCTGACATACACCCAGTATCCTTTGTAACACCCCTGACATACACCCAGTATCCTTTATAACACCCCTGACATACACCCAGTATCCTTTGAACACCCCTGACATACACCCATGTAACACCCCTGACATACACCCAGTATCCTTTGTAACACCCCTGACATACACCCAGTATCCTTTGTTACACCACTGACATACACCCAGTATCCTTTGAACACCCCTGACATACAGTATCCTTTGAACACCCCTGACATACAGTATCCTTTGTTACACCCCTGACATACACCCAGTATCCTTTGAACACCCCTGACATACACCCAGTATCCTTTGTTACACCCCTGACATACACCCAGTATCCTTTGAACACCCCTGACATACACCCAGTATCCTTTGTTACACCCCTGACATACACCCAGTATCCTTTGTTACACCCCTGACATACACCCAGTATCCTTTGAACACCCCTGACATACACCCAGTATCCTTTGTTACACCCCTGACATACACCCAGTATCCTTTGAACACCCCTGACATACACCCAGTATCCTTTGTTACACCCCTGACATACACCCAGTATCCTTTGTTACACCCCTGACATACACCCAGTATCCTTTGAACACCCCTGACATACACCCAGTATCCTTTGTTACACCCCTGACATACACCCAGTATCCTTTGTTACACCCCTGACATACACCCAGTATCCTTTGAACACCCCTGACATACACCCATGTAACACCCCTGACATACACCCAGTATCCTTTGAACACCCCTGACATACACCCAGTATCCTTTGTTACACCACTGACATACACCCAGTATCCTTTGAACACCCCTGACATACAGTATCCTTTGAACACCCCTGACATACAGTATCCTTTGTTACACCCCTGACATACACCCATGTAACACCCCTGACATACACCCAGTATCCTTTGAACACCCCTAACATACACCCAGTATCCTTTGAACACTCCTGACATACACCCAGTATCCTTTGTTACACCCCTGACATACACCCAGTATCCTTTGAACACCCCTAACATACACCCAGTATCCTTTGAACACCCCTGACATACACCCAGTATCCTTTGTAACACCCCTGACATACACCCAGTATCCTTTGAACACCCCTAACATACACCCAGTATCCTTTGAACACCCCTGACATACACCCAGTATCCTTTGTAACACCCCTGACATACACCCAGTATCCTTTGTTACACCACTGACATACACCCAGTATCCTTTGAACACCCCTGACATACACCCATGTAACACCCCTGACATACACCCATGTAACACCCCTGACATACACCCATGTAACACCCCTGACATACACCCATGTAACACCCCTGACATACACCCATGTAACACCCCTGACATACACCCATGTAACACCCCTGACATACACCAAGTATGGAATCTGATACACTCAGGTATCCGTATACACCAACAATCTCTTAAAGGTGAGGTATGACAATCAAGTTTCATCTCATCTATTTCGCTTCTCTCTTCACACCAACCTTCACTTTTTACTCCAACCCTCAACTGTCCTCTCCATTCATTCCTACACACCCCTTTCTCTTGCTCACAACACAACGGCTGTCACTCAACCAGTCGCTTCCATACAACAACATACATGTCAACACACCTGGCACCCAGAGAAAATATCTCACATTGACCCCCACATAAATACACCCGTTGACCCCCCCCCCCTCACATAAATCCACACATACATCCACACATTGACCCCCCAGCTTCCATACAACAACATACATGTCAACACACCTGGCACCCAGAGAAAATATCTCACATTGACCCCCACATAAATACACCCGTTGATCCCCCCCCCCACATAAATCCACACATACATCCACACATTGACCCCCCACATGAACCCACATAAACCCTCACATTGACCCACACATTGACCCCCAAATGAACCCTGACAGTGTGAGTTCAGTGAAGATTGTCCTGAGCCTAGACTAGACTGGAACACCTGTCACTGCCAGTCTTGATTGACAGACTCGTGTTGCGCAAACACTTTGGTCTGGCTGTCAGGATGTGTCAGTACCTGAAGATACCTGACGCGGAGGGGAGGAGCCGGATCCTGGCCCACTGGGCTTGTTTCAAGGTGAGGTCAAAGGTCAGGGACACACTGGGCTTGTTTCAAGGTGAGGTCAGGGACACACAGGGCTTGTTTCAAGGTGAGGTCAAAGGTCAGGGGCACACTGGGCTTGTTTCAAGGTGAGGTCAGGGACACACTGGGCTTGTTTCAAGGTGAGGTCAAAGGTCAGGGACACACTGGGCTTGTTTCAAGGTGAGGTCAGGGACACACTGGGCTTGTTTCAAGGTGAGGTCAGGGGCACACTGGGCTTGTTTCAAGGTGAGGTCAGGGACACACTGGGCTTGTTTCAAGGTGAGGTCAGGGGTCGGGGACACACTGGGCTTGTTTCAAGGTGAGGTCAGAGGTCAGGGACACACTGGGCTTGTTTCAAGGTGAGGTCAGAGGTCAGGGACACACTGGGCTTGTTTCAAGGTGAGGTCAGGGACACACTGGGCTTGTTTCAAGGTGAGGTCAGGGACACACTGGGCTTGTTTCAAGGTGGGGTCAGGGACACACTGGGCTTGTTTCAAGGTGAGGTCAGGGACACACAGGGTTTGTTTCAAGGTGAGGTCAAAGGTCAGGGACACACTGGGCTTGTTTCAAGGTGAGGTCAGGGACACACTGGGCTTGTTTCAAGGTGAGGTCAGGGACACACAGGGTTTGTTTCAAGGTGAGGTCAAAGGTCAGGGACACACTGGGCTTGTTTCAAGGTGAGGTCAGGGACACACTGGGCTTGTTTCAAGGTGAGGTCAGGGACACACTGGGCTTGTTTCAATGTGAGGTCAGGGACACACTGGGCTTGTTTCAATGTGAGGTCAGGGACACACTGGGCTTGTTTCAAGGTGAGGTCAGGGACACACTGGGCTTGTTTCAAGGTGAGGTCAAAGGTCAGGGACACACTGGGCTTGTTTCAAGGTGAGGTCAGGGACACACTGGGCTTGTTTCAAGGTGAGGTCAGAGACACACTGGGCTTGTTTCAAGGTGAGGTCAAAGGTCAGGGGCACACTGGGCTTGTTTCAAGGTGAGGTCAGGGACACACTGGGCTTGTTTCAAGGTGAGGTCAGAGGTCAGGGACACACTGGGCTTGTTTCAAGGTGAGGTCAGGGACACACTGGGCTTGTTTCAAGGTGAGGTCAGAGGTCAGGGACACACTGGGCTTGTTTCAGGGTGAGGTCAGGGACACACTGGGCTTGTTTCAAGGTGAGGTCAGAGGTCATGGACACACTGGGTTTGTTTCAAGGTGAGGTCAGGGACACACTGGGCTTGTTTCAAGGTGAGGTCAGGGACACACTGGGCTTGTTTCAAGGTGAGGTCAGGGACACACTGGGTTTGTTTCAAGGTGAGGTCAGGGACACACTGGGCTTGTTTCAAGGTGAGGTCAGGGACACACTGGGCTTGTTTCAAGGTGAGGTCAAGGGTCAGGGACACACAGGGTTTGTTTCAAGGTGAGGTCAAAGGTCAGGGACACACTGGGCTTGTTTCAAGGTGAGGTCAGGGACACACTGGGCTTGTTTCAAGGTGAGGTCAAGGGTCAGGGACACACAGGGTTTGTTTCAAGGTGAGGTCAAAGGTCAGGGACACACTGGGCTTGTTTCAAGGTGAGGTCAGGGACACACTGGGCTTGTTTCAAGGTGAGGTCAGGGACACACTGGGCTTGTTTCAAGGTGAGGTCAGGGACACACTGGGCTTGTTTCAAGGTGAGGTCAGGGACACACAGGGTTTGTTTCAAGGTGAGGTCAAAGGTCAGGGACACACTGGGCTTGTTTCAAGGTGAGGTCAGGGACACACAGGGTTTGTTTCAAGGTGAGGTCAGGGACACACTGGGCTTGTTTCAAGGTGAGGTCAGGGACACACTGGGCTTGTTTCAAGGTGAGGTCAAAGGTCAGGGACACACTGGGCTTGTTTCAAGGTGAGGTCAGGGACACACTGGGCTTGTTTCAAGGTGAGGTCAGGGACACACTGGGCTTGTTTCAAGGTGAGGTCAGAGGTCAGGGACACACTGGGCTTGTTTCAATGTGAGGTCAGGGACACACTGGGCTTGTTTCAAGGTGAGGTCAGGGACACACTGGGCTTGTTTCAAGGTGAGGTCAGGGACACACTGGGCTTGTTTCAAGGTGAGGTCAAGGGTCAGGGACACACAGGGTTTGTTTCAAGGTGAGGTCAAAGGTCAGGGACACACTGGGCTTGTTTCAAGGTGAGGTCAGGGACACACTGGGCTTGTTTCAAGGTGAGGTCAGGGACACACTGGGCTTGTTTCAAGGTGAGGTCAGGGACACACTGGGCTTGTTTCAAGGTGAGGTCAGGGACACACAGGGTTTGTTTCAAGGTGAGGTCAAAGGTCAGGGACACACTGGGCTTGTTTCAAGGTGAGGTCAGGGACACACAGGGTTTGTTTCAAGGTGAGGTCAGGGACACACTGGGCTTGTTTCAAGGTGAGGTCAGGGACACAGGGCTTGTTTCAAGGTGAGGTCAAAGGTCAGGGGCACACTGGGCTTGTTTCAAGGTGAGGTCAGGGACACACTGGGCTTGTTTCAAGGTGAGGTCAAAGGTCAGGGACACACTGGGCTTGTTTCAAGGTGAGGTCAGGGACACACTGGGCTTGTTTCAAGGTGAGGTCAGGGGCACACTGGGCTTGTTTCAAGGTGAGGTCAGGGACACACTGGGCTTGTTTCAAGGTGAGGTCAGGGGTCGGGGACACACTGGGCTTGTTTCAAGGTGAGGTCAGAGGTCAGGGACACACTGGGCTTGTTTCAAGGTGAGGTCAGAGGTCAGGGACACACTGGGCTTGTTTCAAGGTGAGGTCAGGGACACACTGGGCTTGTTTCAAGGTGAGGTCAGGGACACACTGGGCTTGTTTCAAGGTGGGGTCAGGGACACACTGGGCTTGTTTCAAGGTGAGGTCAGGGACACACAGGGTTTGTTTCAAGGTGAGGTCAAAGGTCAGGGACACACTGGGCTTGTTTCAAGGTGAGGTCAGGGACACACTGGGCTTGTTTCAAGGTGAGGTCAGGGACACACAGGGTTTGTTTCAAGGTGAGGTCAAAGGTCAGGGACACACTGGGCTTGTTTCAAGGTGAGGTCAGGGACACACTGGGCTTGTTTCAAGGTGAGGTCAGGGACACACTGGGCTTGTTTCAATGTGAGGTCAGGGACACACTGGGCTTGTTTCAATGTGAGGTCAGGGACACACTGGGCTTGTTTCAAGGTGAGGTCAGGGACACACTGGGCTTGTTTCAAGGTGAGGTCAAAGGTCAGGGACACACTGGGCTTGTTTCAAGGTGAGGTCAGGGACACACTGGGCTTGTTTCAAGGTGAGGTCAGAGGTCAGAGACACACTGGGCTTGTTTCAAGGTGAGGTCAAAGGTCAGGGGCACACTGGGCTTGTTTCAAGGTGAGGTCAGGGACACACTGGGCTTGTTTCAAGGTGAGGTCAGAGGTCAGGGACACACTGGGCTTGTTTCAAGGTGAGGTCAGGGACACACTGGGCTTGTTTCAAGGTGAGGTCAGAGGTCAGGGACACACTGGGCTTGTTTCAGGGTGAGGTCAGGGACACACTGGGCTTGTTTCAAGGTGAGGTCAGAGGTCATGGACACACTGGGTTTGTTTCAAGGTGAGGTCAGGGACACACTGGGCTTGTTTCAAGGTGAGGTCAGGGACACACTGGGCTTGTTTCAAGGTGAGGTCAGGGACACACTGGGTTTGTTTCAAGGTGAGGTCAGGGACACACTGGGCTTGTTTCAAGGTGAGGTCAGGGACACACTGGGCTTGTTTCAAGGTGAGGTCAAGGGTCAGGGACACACAGGGTTTGTTTCAAGGTGAGGTCAAAGGTCAGGGACACACTGGGCTTGTTTCAAGGTGAGGTCAGGGACACACTGGGCTTGTTTCAAGGTGAGGTCAAGGGTCAGGGACACACAGGGTTTGTTTCAAGGTGAGGTCAAAGGTCAGGGACACACTGGGCTTGTTTCAAGGTGAGGTCAGGGACACACTGGGCTTGTTTCAAGGTGAGGTCAGGGACACACTGGGCTTGTTTCAAGGTGAGGTCAGGGACACACTGGGCTTGTTTCAAGGTGAGGTCAGGGACACACAGGGTTTGTTTCAAGGTGAGGTCAAAGGTCAGGGACACACTGGGCTTGTTTCAAGGTGAGGTCAGGGACACACAGGGTTTGTTTCAAGGTGAGGTCAGGGACACACTGGGCTTGTTTCAAGGTGAGGTCAGGGACACACTGGGCTTGTTTCAAGGTGAGGTCAAAGGTCAGGGACACACTGGGCTTGTTTCAAGGTGAGGTCAGGGACACACTGGGCTTGTTTCAAGGTGAGGTCAGGGACACACTGGGCTTGTTTCAAGGTGAGGTCAGAGGTCAGGGACACACTGGGCTTGTTTCAAGGTGAGGTCAGGGACACACTGGGCTTGTTTCAAGGTGAGGTCAGGGACACACTGGGCTTGTTTCAAGGTGAGGTCAGGGACACACTGGGCTTGTTTCAAGGTGAGGTCAAGGGTCAGGGACACACAGGGTTTGTTTCAAGGTGAGGTCAAAGGTCAGGGACACACTGGGCTTGTTTCAAGGTGAGGTCAGGGACACACTGGGCTTGTTTCAAGGTGAGGTCAGGGACACACTGGGCTTGTTTCAAGGTGAGGTCAGGGACACACTGGGCTTGTTTCAAGGTGAGGTCAGGGACACACAGGGTTTGTTTCAAGGTGAGGTCAAAGGTCAGGGACACACTGGGCTTGTTTCAAGGTGAGGTCAGGGACACACAGGGTTTGTTTCAAGGTGAGGTCAGGGACACACTGGGCTTGTTTCAAGGTGAGGTCAGGGACACACTGGGCTTGTTTCAAGGTGAGGTCAAAGGTCAGGGACACACTGGGCTTGTTTCAAGGTGAGGTCAGGGACACACTGGGCTTGTTTCAAGGTGAGGTCAGGGACACACTGGGCTTGTTTCAAGGTGAGGTCAGAGGTCAGGGACACACTGGGCTTGTTTCAAGGTGAGGTCAGGGACACACTGGGCTTGTTTCAAGGTGAGGTCAGGGACACACTGGGCTTGTTTCAAGGTGAGGTCAGGGACACACTGGGCTTGTTTCAAGGTGAGGTCAGGGACACACTGGGCTTGTTTCAAGGTGAGGTCAGGGACACACAGGGTTTGTTTCAAGGTGAGGTCAAAGGTCAGGGACACACTGGGCTTGTTTCAAGGTGAGGTCAGGGACACACTGGGCTTGTTTCAAGGTGAGGTCAAGGGTCAGGGACACACAGGGTTTGTTTCAAGGTGAGGTCAAAGGTCAGGGACACACTGGGCTTGTTTCAAGGTGAGGTCAGGGACACACTGGGCTTGTTTCAAGGTGAGGTCAAGGGTCAGGGACACACAGGGTTTGTTTCAAGGTGAGGTCAAAGGTCAGGGACACACTGGGCTTGTTTCAAGGTGAGGTCAGGGACACACTGGGCTTGTTTCAAGGTGAGGTCAGGGACACACTGGGCTTGTTTCAAGGTGAGGTCAGGGACACACTGGGCTTGTTTCAAGGTGAGGTCAGGGACACACAGGGTTTGTTTCAAGGTGAGGTCAAAGGTCAGGGACACACTGGGCTTGTTTCAAGGTGAGGTCAGGGACACACAGGGTTTGTTTCAAGGTGAGGTCAGGGACACACTGGGCTTGTTTCAAGGTGAGGTCAGGGACACACAGGGCTTGTTTCAAGGTGAGGTCAGGGGTCGGGGACACACTGGGCTTGTTTCAAGGTGAGGTCAGGGACACACTGGGCTTGTTTCAAGGTGAGGTCAGGGACACACTGGGCTTGTTTCAAGGTGAGGTCAGGGACACACTGGGCTTGTTTCAAGGTGAGGTCAGAGGTCAGGGACACACTGGGCTTGTTTCAATGTGAGGTCAGGGACACACTGGGCTTGTTTCAAGGTGAGGTCAGGGACACACTGGGCTTGTTTCAAGGTGAGGTCAGGGACACACTGGGCTTGTTTCAAGGTGAGGTCAGGGACACACTATTTCAAGGTGAGTTCAGAGGTCAGGGATACACTGAGCCTATCTTCAGGTGAGGTCAGAAGGGGTGGGGTTGATGATTCCTGGCTTAAAAGCTAAATGTGCCCAGATTTTATTGGTTTATTTCTTTACTTCCTGATGTGCCCAGATTTTATTTATTTATTTATTTACTTGCTGATGTGCCCAGATTTTATTTATTTATTTATTTACTTCCTGATGTGCCCAGATTTTATTTATTTATTTATTTACTTGCTGATGTGCCCAGATTTTATTTATTTATTTCTTTACTTGCTGATGTGCCCAGGTCCAGCAGAAACACGTGGATGAAGAAAACCTGGCCAGAGCCATATCCCAGAAACTTGTTGACGTGCCAGGTGTTTCCTTCTCAGAGATTGCCAGTCAGGCTCTCAAAAATGGCAGGAAGCAGCTGGCTGTTAGGGTAAGTCCCATGTAAGGGTTGTCAATGGCCTGACCCAGCAGGTGACTAATGCTTCTATCTGATGAAGTGATTCTTCATCTTAATTTTCCCGTTTTGTTGATGAATTTTGTTATTGTTTCATTAAATTGATAAATGTATCTCGAAATGTTTCAACAAAGTTGCTGCATTAAAAGTGTTTTAAAATTGCCACACATCCTAAACAAACAAACAGACAAATGAAAGCCTCTAAAAATGTCACATTTGCTCCAGTTACTGGACTACGAGTCCAGGGCGTCGGAGCAGGTGCCATTGTTGCTGGAGATGAATCAGGACCAGGCGGCACTGACCAAAGCCATCGACAGCGGGGACACAGATCTTGGTAGGTCATTTAGGTCATCTAAGTAGGCCATTTAGGTCATGTAAGTAGGTCATTTAGGTCATCTTAGTAGGTTGATGAGGTCAACCAGGTAGGTCATTTAGATCATCTAGGCAGGTTGGTAAAGTCATTTTGGTAGGTTGGTGAGGTCATCTAGGTAGGTCATTTAGGTCATCCATAAGTAGGTCATTAAGTTCATCTAAGTAGGCCATTTAGGTCATCTAAGTAGGTAATTTAGGTCATCTAAGTAGGCCATTTAGGTCATCTAAGTAGGTCATGTAGGTCATCTAAATACGTCATTTAGGTCATCCATAAGTAGGTCATTTAGATAATCTAAGTAGGTTAATGAGGTCAACCAGGTAGGTCATCTAGGCAGGTTGATAATGTCATCTAGGTAGGTTGGTGAGGTCATCTAAATAGGTTGGTGAGGTCATCTAATTAGGTTGATGAGTTCTCATGAACTGTTGAAGTTTGAATCAAGAGACTTGTGTAATGTCCATCAAATGTTTCCTTGTGTTTTAGTCTACTTGGCTTTACTTCGCATCAAGGACAAGATGTCTAATGCAGGAGATTTCTTCATGTTGATCAGAACCATGCCAATTGCCTGCTCTCTCTATATTCAGGTGAGATTGTCAACCGTTGCCTCCCCCCCCCCCCAGTATCTACATTTACTTGTCTTTACTATTGGGAACAAAATCCTGCCAGCCTTTAGACCATGTTCCCTAATGTTCCCAAGTATTGCCTTATGGCCAGGTTCCCTAATGTGGGGAACATTAGTAGTATCCTATTACCATGTTCCCTAATGTTCCCAAGTATTGCCTTATTACCATGTTCCCTAATGTTCCCCAGTATTGCCGCCAACAAAACCTGAAGCAAGTAGAAGACTTGTATTACCAAGAGGACAATTCTTTGGACGAGGGCAACTGCAAGGTCATCAGGAGCTATCATTTAGAGGTCAGTAGGTCATCAGGAGTTATCATTTAGAGGTCAGTAGGTCAACTGTTAGGTCATCAGGAGCTATCATTTAGAGGTCAGTAGGTCATCAGGAGTTATCATTTAGAGGTCAGTAGGTCATCAGGAGCTATCACTTAGAGGTCAGTAGGTCATCAGGAGCTATCACTTAGAGGTCAGTAGGTCATCAGGAGCTATCACTTAGAGGTCAGTAGGTCATCAGGAGCTATCACTTAGAGGTCAGTAGGTCATCAGGAGCTATCATTTAGAGGTCAGTAGGTCAACTGTAAGGTCATCAGGAGCAATCATTTAGAGGTCAGTAGGTCAACTGTAAGGTCATCAGGAGCAATCATTTAGAGGTCAGTAGGTCATCAGGACCTATCATTTAGAGGTCAGTAGGTCATCAGGAGCTATCACTTAGAGGTCAGTAGGTCAACTGTAAGGTCATCAGGAGCAATCATTTAGAGGTCAGTAGGTCATCAGGAGCTATCACTTAGAGGTCAGTAGGTTATCAGGCGCTATCATTTAGAGGTCAGTAGGTCATCAGGAGCAATCATTTAGAGGTCAGTAGGTCATCAGGAGTTATCATTTAGAGGATTGAGGGAATGTGTTAAGCTAAGAAAGTCCTAATTGTTGATCCTGTCAGTGTATACCTGTATGTTGATCCATTTGATGACAACTAAAACTAGATAACTACAACTAATTAAAACTTGATAATTACCACTAAATCTAATTAAAATTTGATAATTTGAATTGAAACTAAGAAAAACTTGATGATTTGAACCCAAACCCATGATCCCCAGCATGTGGAAGAGAGAGCCAAGCTGCTGGAAGATGCAACCAACTGTTTCTACAGGTGTAAAAATGACTTCGCTGCTAAGGTAAGTTTGGGTCAAGCTTTGGGTCAGGCTTTGAGTCAGGTGGTCAGGCTTTAGTTTTTCATATTTAGCAAATAGTTATAACTCAAAGAGTTTAGCTTTAAAACAAATAAAAAATGGTCAAAATTTACTTTTTGTTGCTATGGTGATGATGTCCATCTTTGATTTATTTATTTTTTGGTCACCCGTCCATGCCTTTAATACAAAAATGGACAAAAAATCCAAACGTGCTAGAAACCCTGTATGTAAAAAAAAAAAACAAGATTTTGGTGATTTTTTTCTGTGCATATCTCCTTAAATAATAATCATCTAACCAACTTTTGTAATCAACTGACCAAACACATGAAGTATGAACTGACCAGACACATGAAGTATGAACTGACCAGACACATGAAGTATGAACTGACCAGACAAGTGAAGTATGAACTGACCAGACACGTGAAGTATGAACTGACCAGACACATGAAGTATGAAATGACCAGACACGTAAAGTATGAACTGTCCAGACACGTGAAGTATGAACTGTCCAGACACATGAAGTATGAACTGACCAGACACATGAAGTATGAACACACGTGAAGTATGAACTGTCCAGACACGTGAAGTATGAACTGTCCAGACACATGAAGTATGAACTGACCAGACACATGAAGTATGAACTGACCAGATACATGAAATATGAACTGACCAGACACATGAAGTATGAACTGACCAGACACGTGAAGTATTAACTGACCAGACACGTGAAGTATGAACTGACCAGACACATGAAGTATGAACTGACCAGCTGACCAGACACGTGAAGTATGAACTGACCAGACACATGAAGTATGAACTGACCAGCTGACCAGACACATGAAGTATGAACTGACCAGACACATGAAGTATGAACTGACCAGACGCATGAAGGATGAACTGACCAGACACGTGAAGTATGAACTGACCAGCTGACCAGACACATGAAGTATGAAATGACCAGACACATGAAGTATGAACTGACCAGACATGTGAAGTATGAACTGACCAGACACATGAAGTATGAACTGACCAGACACATGAAGTATGAACTGACCAGACACATGAAGTATGAACTGACCAGACACATGAAGTATGAACTGACCAGACACATGAAGTATGAACTGACCAGACAAGTAAAGTATGAACTGACCAGACACATGAAGTATGAACTGACCAGACACATGAAGTATGAACTGACCAGCTGAACAGACACATGAAGTATGAACTGACATGACCCATGAAGTATGGACTGACCAGACGCATGAAGTATGAACTGACCAGACACATGAAGTATGAACTGACCAGACACATGAAGTATGAACTGACCAGACACATGAAGTATGAACTGACCAGACACATGAAGTATGAACTGACCAGACAAGTGAAGTATGAACTGACCAGACACGTGAAGTATGAACTGACCAGACACATGAAGTATGAACTGACCAGCTAACCAGACACATGAAGTATGAACTGACCAGACACGTGAAGTATGAACTGACCAGACACATGAAGTATGAACTGACCAGACACATGAAGTATGAACTGACCAGACACATGAAGTATGAATCAACCAGACACATGAAGTATGAACTGACCAGACACATGAAGTATGAACTGACCAGACACATGAAGTATGAACTGACCAGACTCATGAAGTATGAACTGACCAGACAAGTGAAGTATGAACTGACCAGACACGTGAAGTATGAACTGACCAGACACATGAAGTATGAACTGACCAGACATGTGAAGTATGAACTGACCAGACACGTGAAGTATGAACTGACCAGACACGTGAAGTATGAACTGACCTGACACATGAAGTATGAACTGACCAGACACATGAAGTATGAACTGACCTGACACATGAAGTATGAACTGACCAGACACATGAAGTATGAACTGACCAGCTGACCAGACACATGAAGTATGAACTGACATGACGCATGAAATATGAACTGACCAGATGCATGAAGTATGAACTGACCAGCTGACCAGACACATGAAGTATGAACTGACCAGACACATGAAGTATGAACTGACCAGACACATGAAGCATGAACTGACCAGACACATGAAGTATGAACTGACCAGACACATGAAGTACAAACTGACCAGACACATGTAGTATGAACTGACCAGACACATGAAGTATGAACTGACCAGACACATGAAGTATGAACTGACCACACACATGAAGTATGAACTGACCAGACACATGAAGTATGAACTGACCAGACACATGAAGTATGAACTGACCAGACACATGAAGTATGAACTGACCAGATTCATGAAGTATGAACTGACCAGACACATGAAGTATGAACTGACCTGACACATGAAGTATGAACTGACCAGCTGACCAGACACATGAAGTATGAACTGACCAGACACATGAAGTATGAACTGACCAGACACATGAAGCATGAACTGACCAGACACATGAAGTATGAACTGACCAGACACATGAAGTACAAACTGACCAGACACATGAAGTATGAACTGACCAGACACATGAAGTATGAACTGACCAGACACATGAAGTATGAACTGACCAGACACATGAAGTATGAACTGACCAGACACATGAAGTATGAACTGACCTGACACATGAAGTATGATGAACTGACCAGACACATGAAGTATGAACTGTCCAGACACATGAAGTATGAACTGACCAGACACATGAAGTATGAACTGACCAGCTGACCAGACACATGAAGTATGAACTGACATGACGCATGAAGTATGAACTGACCAGATGCATGAAGTATGAACTGACCAGCTGACCAGACACATGAAGTATGAACTGACCAGACACATGAAGTATGAACTGACCAGACACATGAAGCATGAACTGACCAGACACATGAAGTATGAACTGACCAGACACATGAAGTACAAACTGACCAGACACATGTAGTATGAAATGACCAGACACATGAAGTATGAACTGACCAGACACATGAAGTATGAACTGACCAGACACATGAAGTATGAACTGACCAGACACATGAAGTATGAACTGACCAGACACATGAAGTATGAACTGACCAGATTCATGAAGTATGAACTGACCAGACACATGAAGTATGAACTGACCTGACACATGAAGTATGAACTGACCAGCTGACCAGACACATGAAGTATGAACTGACCAGACACATGAAGTATGAACTGACCAGACACATGAAGCATGAACTGACCAGACACATGAAGTATGAACTGACCAGACACATGAAGTACAAACTGACCAGACACATGAAGTATGAACTGACCAGACACATGAAGTATGAACTGACCAGACACATGAAGTATGAACTGACCAGACACATGAAGTATGAACTGACCAGACACATGAAGTATGAACTGACCTGACACATGAAGTATGATGAACTGACCAGACACATGAAGTATGAACTGACCAGACACATGAAGTATGAACTGACCAGACACATGAAGTATGAGCTGACCAGACACATGAAGTATGAACTGACATGACGCATGAAGTATGAACTGACCAGATGCATGAAGTATGAACTGACCAGCTGACCAGACACATGAAGTATGAACTGACCAGACACATGAAGTATGAACTGACCAGACACATGAAGCATGAACTGACCAGACACATGAAGTATGAACTGACCAGACACATGAAGTACAAACTGACCAGACACATTTAGTATGAACTGACCAGACACATGAAGTATGAACTGACCAGACACATGAAGTATGAACTGACCAGACACATGAAGTATGAACTGACCAGACACATGAAGTATGAACTGACCAGACACATGAATTATGAACTGACCAGATTCATGAAGTATGAACTGACCAGACACATGAAGTATGAACTGACCTGACACATAAAGTATGAACTGACCAGCTGACCAGACACATGAAGTATGAACTGACCAGACACATGAAGTATGAACTGACCAGACACATGAAGCATGAACTGACCAGACACATGAAGTATGAACTGACCAGACACATGAATTACAAACTGACCAGACACATGAAGTATGAACTGACCAGACACATGAAGTATGAACTGACCAGACACATGAAGTATGAACTGACCAGACACATGAAGTATGAACTGACCAGACACATGAAGTATGAACTGACCAGACACATGAAGTATGAACTGACCTGACACATGAAGTATGAACTGACCAGACACATGAAGTATGAACTGACCAGACACATGAAGTACAAACTGACCAGACACATGAAGTATGAACTGACTAGACACATGAAGTATGAACTGACCAGACACATGAAGTATGAACTGACCAGACACATGAAGTATGAACTGACCAGACACGTGAAGTATGAACTGACCAGACACATGAAGTATGAACTGACCAGACACATGAAGTACGAACTGACCAGACACATGAAGTACAAATTGACCAGACACACGAAGTATGAACTGACCAGACACATGAAGTATGATGAACTGACCAGACACATGAAGTACAAACTGACCAGACACATGAAGTATGAACTGACCAGACACATGAAGTATGATGAACTGACCAGACACATGAAGTATGAACTGACCAGACCATGAAGTATGAACCAACCACTTCCAGCAAACAGAGGACCAGATCAAGCTCCTGCGCCTACAGAGAAAGATTGAGGACGAGACAGGTCACTCGTATGCTGACCTCTCCCTACAACAGACCATCCACAATTTAATCCTCAATGGCAACGCTCAGTATGTGGATAAGCTACGCAAAGAATTCAAAGTCCCAGACAGAAGGTAAGCTCTGAGTTCAAGTCCTAGACAGAAGGTAAGCTCTGAGTTCAAGTCCCAGACAGAAGGTAAGCTCTGAGTTCAAGTCACAGACAGAAGGTAAGCTCTGAGTTCAAGTCCCAGACAGAAGGTAAGCTCTGAGTTCAAGTCCCAGACAGAAGGTAAGCTCTGAGTTCAAGTCCTAGACAGAAGGTAAGCTTTGAGTTCAAGTCCCAGACAGAAGGTAAGCTCTGAGTTCAAGTCACAGACAGAAGGTAAGCTCTGAGTTCAAGTCCCAGACAGAAGGTAAGCTCTGAGTTCAAGTCCCAGACAGAAGGTAAGCTCTGAGTTCAAGTCCTAGACAGAAGGTAAGCTCTGAGTTCAAGTCACAGACAGAAGGTAAGCTCTGAGTTCAAGTCACAGACAGAAGGTAAGCTCTGAGTTCAAGTCACAGACAGAAGGTAAGCTCTGAGTTCAAGTCACAGACAGAAGGTAAGCTCTGAGTTCAAGTCACAGACAGAAGGTAAGCTCTGAGTTCAAGTCCCAGACAGAAGGTAAGCTCTGAGTTCAAGTCCCAGACAGAAGGTAAGCTCTGAGTTCAAGTCACAGACAGAAGGTAAGCTCTGAGTTCAAGTCACAGACAGAAGGTAAGCTCTGAGTTCAAGTCACAGACAGAAGGTAAGCTCTGAGTTCAAGTCACAGACAGAAGGTAAGCTCTGAGTTCAAGTCACAGACAGTAGGTAAGCTCTGAGTTCAAGTCACAGACAGAAGGTAAGCTCTGAGTTCAAGTCACAGACACAAGGTAAGCTCTGAGTTCAAGTCACAGACAGAAGGTAAGCTCTGAGTTCAAGTCCCAGACAGAAGGTAAGCTCTGAGTTCAAGTCCCAGACAGAAGGTAAGCTCTGAGTTCAAGTCACAGACAGAAGGTAAGCTCTGAGTTCAAGTCACAGACAGAAGGTAAGCTCTGAGTTCAAGTCACAGACAGAAGGTAAGCTCTGAGTTCAAGTCACAGACAGAAGGTAAGCTCTGAGTTCAAGTCACAGACAGTAGGTAAGCTCTGAGTTCAAGTCACAGACAGAAGGTAAGCTCTGAGTTCAAGTCACAGACAGAAGGTAAGCTCTGAGTTCAAGTCACAGACAGAAGGTAAGCTCTGAGTTCAAGTCACAGACACAAGGTAAGCTCTGAGTTCAAGTCACAGACAGAAGGTAAGCTCTGAGTTCAAGTCACAGACAGAAGGTAAGCTCTGAGTTCAAGTCTCAGACATAAGATAAGCTCTGAGTTCAAGTCACAGACAGAAGGTAAGCTCTGAGTTCAAGTCACAGACAGAAGGTAAGCTCTGAGTTCAAGTCACAGACAGAAGGTAAGCTCTGAGTTCAAGTCACAGACAGAAGGTAAGCTCTGAGTTCAAGTCACAGACAGAAGGTAAGCTCTGAGTTCAAGTCACAGACAGAAGGTAAGCTCTGAGTTCAAGTCACAGACAGAAGGTAAGCTCTGAGTTCAAGTCACAGACAGAAGGTAAGCTCTGAGTTCAAATTTTACACACAAGTTGAGCTCCATGTCCCCATGTAGTTGCTTAGTTTAAGACCATTGAGTTAGTAAAGAACCCTTTCAAAATTGACATTCCATGGGTAAAGTAGAGTTGACCTGTTTTAGGGATCTTGGCATATGAAGACTAGGTATGTCTGTTTTATGTTTAGGTGTTGATGCAAATCATGATGTGAGTCACACTTTAGTAGTCATTGTCCCAACATCATTTCAACATCATTCTATCATCATTCCATGATCATTCCAACATCATTCTATCATCATTCCAACATCATTCTATCATCATTCCAACATCATTCTATCATCATTCTATCATCATTCCAACATCATTCCATCATCATTCCATCATCATTCCAACATCATTCCAACATCATTCCAACATCATTCTATCATCATTCCAACATCATTCCAACATCATTCTATCATCATTCCAACATCATTCCAACATCATTCTATCATCATTCCAACATCATTCCAACATCATTCTATCATCATTCCAACATCATTCCAACATCATTCTATCATCATTCCAACATCATTCCAACATCATTCTATCATCATTCCAACATCATTCTATCATCATTCTATCATCATTCCAACATCATTCTATCATCATTCCAACATCATTCTATCATCATTCCAACATCATTCTATCATCATTCCATCATCATTCCATGATCATTGCATCATCATTCCATCATCATTCCATCCAGGTTCTGGATATTGAAAATGAATGCTCTGGCAGAAATTAATGATTGGGTGGAGATTGACAAAATGTCTCGGACTAAAAAAGCTCCTGTTAGCATGGAGGTAAGGTTATCTATTTATAGGTTTGTTGGTAAGGTCATCTATTTATAGGTTTAGTGGTAAGGTAATCTATTTATATCTTTGGTGGTAAGGTCATCTATTTATAAGTTTGGTGGTAAGGTCATCTATTTATAAGTTTGGTGGTAAGGTCATCTATTTATAGGTTTAGTGGTAAGGTAACCTATTTATATCTTTAATGGTAAGGTAATCTATTTATAGGTTTGGTGATGCATTTCTAATGTTATGTCGTTACACCTTGTATCAATGGGTAGTGTAAGGAGGTTAGACCAGCTTACATAGATTGTGTAAGGAGGTTAGACCAGCTTACATAGATTGTGTAAGGAGGTTAGACCAGCTTACATAGATTGTGTAAGGAGGTTAGACCAGCTTACATAGATTGTGTAAGGAAGTTAGACCAGCTTACATAGATTGTGCAAGTTTGTATGCTAGCAACCTTTCTCTTGCAGATGTTTGTGCAAGTTTGTATGAAGAAAGGAAACAGAACTGAAGCGGAGAAATATTTGAGCCGGGTTCCTCCTGAGTTGAAGGTCAAGTGTCTCATACTAGTTGGGTAGGTCGACCTTTTTTTTTGCTTTTAGTTTTTGTGATTTTAGTGTGTCCAGAATACAAATCTTCTAAATTTACATTGCAATTGTTGATGTTGTATGCTGACTGATGTTCGCTGTGCTGACTCTAATGTTCCCTGTGCTGACTTTAATGTTCCCTGTGCTGAATCTAATGTTCCCTGTGCTGACTCTGATGTTCCCTGTGCTGACTCTGATGTTCCCTGTGCTGACTCTAATGTTCCCTGACTCTAATGTTCCCTGACTCTAATGTTCCCTGTGCTGAATCTAATGTTCCCTGTGCTGAATCTAATGTTCCCTGTGCTGACTCTGATGTTCCCTGTGCTGACTCTAATGTTCCCTGTGCTGAATCTAATGTTCCCTGTGCTGACTCTAATGTTCCCTGACTCTGATGTTCCCTGTGCTGACTCTGATGTTCCTTTTGCTGACTCTAATGTTCCATGTGCTAACTATAATGTTCCCTGACTCTAATGTTCCCTGTGCTGACTCTAATGTTCCCTGACTCTAATGTTCCCTGACTCTAATGTTCTCTGTGCTGACTCTAATGTTCCCTGTGCTGACTTTAATGTTCCCTGTGCTGACTCTGATGTTCCCTGTGCTGACTCTGATGTTCCCTGTGCTGACTCTAATGTTCCCTGACTCTAATGTTCCCTGTGCTGACTCTAATGTTTCCTGTGCTGACTCTAATGTTCCCTGACTTTAATGTTCCTTGTGCTGACTCTAATGTTCCCCGTGCTGACTCTGATGTTCCTTTTGCTGACTCTAATGTTCCTTGTGCTAACTCTAATGTTCCTTGAGCTGACTCTGATGTTCCCTATGCTGACTCTAATGTTCCCTGTGCTGACTCTAATGTTCCCTGACTCTAATGTTCCCTGTGCTGACTCTATGTTCCCTGTGCTGACTCTAATGTTCCCTGACTCTGATGTTCCCTAGGCTGACTCTGATGTTCCCTCTGCAGACTCTGATGTTCCCTGATGCTGATGTTCCCTGTGCTGACTCTAATGTTCCCTGTTCTGACTCTAATGTTCCCTGACTCTAATGTTCCCTAGGCAGACTCTAATGTTCCCTGTGCTGACTCTGATGTTCCCTGATGCTGATGTTCCCTGTGCTGACTCTAATACCCAGTGCTGACTCTAATGTTCCCTGACTCTAATGTTCCCTGACTCTAATATTCCCGGTGCTTACTCTAATGTTCCCTGTGCTGACTCTAATGTTCCCTGAATCTAATGTTCCCTGTTATGACTCTGATGTTCCCTGTTCTGACTCTAATGTTCCCTGACTCTAATGTTCCCTGACTCTGATGTTCCCTGTGCTAACTCTAATGTTCCCTGTGTTGACTCTGATGTTCCCTGTGCTGACTCTGATGTTCCCTGACTCTAATGTTCCCTGTGTTGCAGGTATTACAAGAAGGCCGCTGAGGTGGCCATTGAGAACAAGAGCGAGGACGACTTTGATTACGTCATCTCAAGACTCGGCTCCGCAGACAGACAGGTGGCGGAGCAGGTCCGATCTATGAGGGGTCAACTGGGTGCCAGGAAATGAGGGGTCAACTGGGTGCCAGGAAATGAGGGGTCAACTGGGTGCTAGGGAATGAGGGGTCAACTGGGTGCCAGGAAATTAGGGGTCAACTGGGTGCTAGGCAATGAGAGGTCAACTGGGTGCCAGGGAATGAGAGGTCAACTGGGTGCCAGGAAATGAGAGGTCAACTGGGTGCCAGGAAATGAGGGTCAACTGGGTGCTAGGCAATGAGAGGTCAACTGGGTCCTAGGGAATGAGAGGTCAACTGGGTGCCAGGGAATGAGAGGTCAACTGGGTCCTAGGGAATGAGAGGTCAACTGGGTGCGAGGGAATGAGGGGTCAACTGGGTGCTAGGGAATAAACCGTTCATTGAAGTTTTTAAACCTAACCCAAATCTGTTACTTGACCTGATGAGACATGTGGTATAGCTGTGGTTTCACACAGTCACCAACACACACACACACACACATGTGGTATAGCTGTGGTTTCACACAGTCACCAACACACACACACACACACATGTGGTATATCTGTAGTCTCACACAGTCACCAACACACACACACACACACATGACAAATGTTAATAAATGTTGTGGCTGTCACATGTGACAAAAAAAATGGTTGCACATTTGTGCGTAACGGGATCAAAACTTGCTGCAATCCGTGGCTTCACTGTTGGGCTGTGGGGTCTGGTTGTAGCTGTGGGGAGGGGGTTGGGTGGGGTTGTAACCAGGCTTATAATGTTTAGCCAGCCATTTGTGTTGACTGATACATATGTCTGGACTGGACATTTCCTCATGGACATTTCTTTATGGACATCTCATAGCTAAATTTGATGTATGTATAAAATGTGATAAACACTTATTTGATGAATTGTTTTTGCTGTAAGTAAATGCTTTGAAATGTGCTTGAATTCTGTCCGATTTGTACTGTCCATTGCTTGTGTACTATTTGTACTGTCCATTGCTTGTGTACTATTGTTATTGGAGCATTGGCCTGGGTCAATGTCCCTTGTCTTTCTATTTCCGCCCTCGATCACACATTTCAAATTGCCAATCTAGAGGTGTATGTATAGCTGACAATTCACACGTTTATATTAAATTTTGTTGTCATATTTGTGACAGATGTAATATGTTGATGAGGACGATGAAGAACTGACACACAGAAAAATGTTGTTTTAATTTTTTATTGATTTTTTTGTTTTTGTTTTGGTAAAAGTCACAAGAATAGAATGTTGGAGATCTTGAAACGAACATCAACTTGTCCATGTTTGCCTCCCTGACCGAGTTACCGTTCGTTACACAGTGCAAGGAAATTATTTACAAATTTATCTGAAGTCGGTGCTCATTTTATAGATTTTTTTTAAACAGTCGTGCTATTAGAGAATAAATTATTTGACCATCAGAACAGTCAACGTCACAAGCCACACTCAATGTGTCAGTACAAAGTACACGTCAAAACACATGACGTCAACGTAAATCTTGCAATGTGTCAGTTATAGCGGGCCAACTCAGACGTAGTAAAATCATTGACGTCTGCTGGAGTTGATCGACTTGTCCTGTTGGAGTCAACAGGTATGGCACTATCTGGGGCGGGGCGGTACCTCGCCTGTAAACCCTGGCTCAACCCGGCATTGATTAGGTAGGCGTGGCACATTTCCATGTGATTAGCTGGCTCAAATATGGCGGCCTTGTAAACACACCCTTACATGTCCTATACACACTTCTCCGTGTCCTACTAGTAAACACACCCTTACATGTCCTAAACACACCTCTCCGTGTCCTACTAGTAAACGCGCCCCTCATTGTACGGGCCATCACTGTACATCCATGCCCTACGAGTAACACTCCTCCATGTCTTAAGTTACACCCCAATGTCCTACACACACCCCCATGTCCTACACACCCCATGTCCTACACACCCCATGTCCTACACACACCCCGTGTCCTACACACCCCATGTCCTACACACCCCATGTCCTACACACCCCATGTCCTACACACCCAATGTCCTACACACACCCCATGTCCTACACACCCCATGTCCTACACACCCAATGTCCTACACACACCCCATGTCCTACACCCAAAGCCCTACACACCCCATGTCCTACACACACTCTAATGTCCTACACACACCCCATGTCCTACTAGTAAACGCATCCCTCCATGTACGGGCCGGCCCCGTACATCCTGTGAAACTCCTGCACGTACTGAAGGCGGTGTTGTTCTGCCGATACAGGCCCGTGGGGGTGGGGTGCTGGGGCGCCGTTCATGTTAAAAGCACCCCTCATTGGGGAGGAAGTCATGTGGTGGTGACCGGAGGGGGGTGATGACGTCAAGGCCAGGGGCTGACCCTCCATGGGCTGTGGGGGTGCCTTGAAGAAGTCGTCCTTGGGGGCGCCGTCCGCCTTGAGCAGGGGGCGGTGGTTGTCGGGGAAGGCCATGGTGAAGAGGGCCTCTGGGTCGCAGACAAACTTGTAGACGTACCGCTCGCCCGCCACCTTCTGCATGATGCCCTTCTCGTAGTAGTAGCGCAGGGAGCGGCTCAGCTTGTCGTAGTTCATGGCGGGACGGTTTTTCTGCATACCCCACCGCCGTGCTACCTGCAACATAGGACGTGGTTAGTACACGCACACAACATTCAACAGGACGTGGTTAGTACACGCACACAACATCAAACACATAGGACGTGGTTAGTACACGCACACAACATTCAACAGGACGTGGTTAGTACACGCACACAACATTCAACAGGACGTGGTTAGTACACGCACACAACATCAAACACATAGGACGTGGTTAGTACACGCACACAACATTCAACAGGACGTGGTTAGTACACGCACACAACATTCAACAGGACGTGGTTAGTACACGCACACAACATTCAACAGGGCGTGGTTAGTACACGCACACAACATCAAACACATAGGACGTGGTTAGTACACGCACACAACATCAAACACATAGGACGTGGTTAGTACACGCACACAACATTCAACAGGACGTGGTTAGTACACGCACACAACATTCAACAGGACGTGGTTAGTACACGCACACAACATCAAACACATAGGACGTGGTTAGTACACGCACACAACATTCAACAGGGCGTGGTTAGTACACGCACACAACATCAAACACATAGGACCGTACACGGCACAGAAAACGAGTTGCGCACGCTGGCCAATGCTGACGTCAGTGCAGGTGTAGTGAATGGAAATGTTGCATTACCTCCTCGGGCTCAATGAGCTTAAACTCCAGCCCCCTGCCCGTCCAGGCGATGAAGGAGGCGTTCGAGGGGTCGTCAAGTAGAGCCACCAGGAACTGCCAGAGCTGCAGGGAGCCGCGCCGTTGGTAGGAGGCGTGGCCCTCACGATGGTACCGCTCCAGGTAGAAGTCGCGGTAAAAGTCAGGCTTGACTTCCAGACCTGGGGATAAGACAGGTGGGCTACAGGTGGGCAATGACAGGTGGGCTACAGGTGGACAATGACAGGTGGGCTACAGGTGGGCAATGACAGGTGGCTGCAGGTGGGCTACAGGTGGATAAACTGACAGGTGGGCTACAGGTGGACAAACTGACAGGTGGCTACAGGTTACGAACTTACAGGTGGATATAACTGTAGAGATAGGTGGTGATTTGTATGTGAAAGTTTTGCCAGAAGCGTAGGCTTTCTATTTGATCAATTATTTCTATCTCTCTACTAGTTTCTCCCCATGCCCCTCTATCCATCCCTCCCCCACCCTCCCACTTCCATGGTCATAACACACAAAAAATGTCCCTAGCTGTTCCATAGATTCCACTTAGACGGCATTAAATCTCTGAATAAATGGTTCACATCTTCACACAACAGGTGGGCGATACCGATATCGTAGCGTCTAGCACCCACATCTTCACACAAAAGGTGGGCGATACCGATATCGTAGCGTCTAGCACCCACATCTTCACACAACAGGTGGGCGATACCGATATCGTAGCGTGTAGCACCCACATCTTCACACAACAGATGGGCGATACCGACCGAAATCGTAGCGTGTAGCACAATAATAGGGCGATACGAATCCTATAAATTAGTAGTCCAGTTAGTTTTGCTACATTTACTACAGATTTGAACTTTAAAAGATCAAGGAAAACAAGCCATTTTTCAATTATTTCAAATTTTACAAATTACGTTCATTTTTTTAAAAAACATTTTCGGTTTGTTTTTTTTAAATTTAAGATGAAAGCCTAAAGCCAGAAATTTTCTTCAGCCAAAATTCAGATCTAATCCCCTGAAAACCAGCTGGTAACAAAATAAAAAATATCTTCGTAGATTTAAATTTTTTTATGAAATGAAAAAAAAATGCAAAATTTATTTTTATGAATTTGAGAGAATCCGAATGACCAGCAAAGGCTAAAAATAGATCCAGGGGCGTGTATCAAATGGTGGCGTTTTTCTGGCCCGCTCCTCACGCGCAACCCCTCAAGGTAATTTGCATAATTATGGTTGAATGTAAAAAATCTGGCAACTGCCGTCTCAAGTTAGTAATAAAGTCGAGGCCAGGCCCGACGGCCGGGCCAAATTATGAGACATATAATTACCGTGTTCCTGCGAGATAAATCTGGCCAGCCCTTCACCCACACGTTTCGCGGGGCTAATGTTACCGACTCGCGCCTCGGTTGCCCTGGCAACGCCACTGTCTCCCGCGTAATAGGGTGTCATTTACTCGCCGGCTTCGCGCCAAAACTCGCCACCAGAGGCGAGACCAAACAAGGGGAGGCGACTAGGGTGTAAAAATTATTGACAGCTCCAGTACGAGTTCTCTGCCCCGGGCTGTCGTTTTTCTACCATTTTTCTCAAGTTTAGGGCCGTAATAAACCTTGACAATTATTATCTCCCTTGATACAACAACCCAATCGAAGAAATAATCACAAGCGATACGTTGCGGGCTGGCCAAGATGCTTATGGCCAGATTTTTAGCACAAAATTTGACAGATGTAGGCAATGTCGCGTTCTGTCACGATTACACCAGCCAGTCACAGTTTATGTTGGGAAAAGTCATAGAAAAAAGCAAAGTTTATGAGAGCAAAAGTCATATAAATAAACCGGGAGTGATCTCCACTAAACTTTCTCGAATATTCTTATATAACACTACGTGGGATGGCAACTCGGGATATAGACAGATTTTTAATTACTTAAACTTTTTAAAATAGAATAGAATCTCGTAGAAAAAAGAATTGCGCACCAAGCGAACGCTAAAACAAAATGTGCATAATAGTGCGGAATATTATTAGTACTTTATAAATTTACATACATTTTTTGAGAAATCGGAAATAGCGTAAATTACTACTCCCGGTCAACGGAAATTACTCAAAATTTGATAGAAGGCACAGAATTAGACATTTTTAAGTGTGAAATTTCATTTATCTATTTGAAAAATTCAAAGTAGAAAAAGTTCCACTTCCGGTTATCGGAAATCGCTCAAAAGTTGATACGTATCTACGATTTTGATATAATACTTATTTATGAAATTTTATCAACCTAGCTGTAACGGTACTCAAGTTATCGTGTTTACAGACGGTAAGATGACAGAAACCCGACCATACGGTAAAATGACAGCATCCTCACCATACGGTTTGAATCAAACCATCTGACATCTGTGATGGGAGATTGGGGGAGGGGAGGTGAGGGGGGCAGATGAGAACGGAGAAGTACCCCCCCCCCCCCCAGCCTATTGATAGGGCCGGAGCCCTGATTGAGCTAGCCGTAGAACGCCCGTGAGCCGGGAAAAAAGCCGGCCCACGAGCACTCCAACGACAGAATGAATTAGATCCCAGTTAAAAACTCGATGAATTTGATCCCAGTTGAAAACTCGATGAATTTGCCCAGATTTCTTGTCGGCTCATTTTCAATTCGATTTTATCGAATACGAAATCGTAATTTAACATAACCAAAATATAATGTCATCCATCCAAGACAATGGTCTCAATGTCTCAAGTTTATTGCAATGGTCTCGATGTCTCAAATTTATTGCAATGGTCTCAATGTCTCAAGTTTATTGCAATGGTCTCGATGTCTAAAGTTTATTGCAATGGTCTCGATGTCTCAAATTTATTGCAATGGTCTCAATGTCTCAAGTTTATTGCAATGGTCTCGATGTCTAAAGTTTATTGCAATGGTCTCGATGTCTCAAGTTTATTGCAATGGTCTCAATGTCTCAAGTTTATTGCAATGGTCTCAATGTCTCAAGTTTATTGCAATGGTCTCAATGTCTCAACTTTATTGCAATGGTCTCAATGTCTCAAGTTTATTGCAATGGTCTCGATGTCTAAAGTTTATTGCAATGGTCTCAATGTCTCATGTTTATTGCAATGGTCTCGATGTCTAAAGTTTATTGCAATGGTCTCAATGTCTCAAGTTTATTGCAATGGTCTCAATGTCTCAAGTTTATTGCAATGGTCTCAATGTCTCAAGTTTATTGCAATGGTCTCAATGTCTCAAGTTGATTGAAATGGTCTCAATGTCTCAAGTTTATTGCAATGGTCTCAATGTCTCAAGTTTATTGCAATGGTCTCAATGTCACAAGTTTATTGCAATGGTCTCAATGTCTCAAGTTTATTGCAATGGTCTCAATGTCTCAAGTTTATTGAGAAGTCTATACGTAGGTCAAAGACTCACCAACAACCACGGTCTCGGCGTGTGTTTTTTGTGTTAGTGTTTGAATGTTACATTTTAAATTAATTAACAACAGCTAATTGGGCAACTAAATGGAACCAGGAAACTACATAAAGAGGCCGGGCAACGTTAGGCAAATAGGCAACATTAGGCACATAGGCAACGTTAGGCAGATAGGCAACGTTAGGCAGATAGGCAACATTAGGCAGATAGGCAACATTAGGCAGATAGGAAACATTAGGCAGATAGGCAACATTAGGCAGATAGGCAACATTAGGCAGATAGGAAACATTAGACAGATAGGAAACATTAGGCAGATAGGAAACATTAGGCAGATAGGCAACATTAGGCAGATAGGCAACGTTAGGAAGTTGGGCAACTTCAGACAGCTAGGCAACATTAGGCAGCCTGGAAACATCAGAAACTGCAATCATTTCTTGCCTTACGTTGCTCATTCTGTCCAAGTTTGCTTTCCACTGAAGGTCAAGGTAACAATAGCTGAATATATTTGACGAGAATCCATGACTTTATATTTCACAAGAATCTCTCCATGACTATTTGACAAGAATCTCTCCATGACTATTTGACAAGAATCTCTCCATGACTCTCTATATGACAAACATCTCTCCATGACTCTCTATATGACAAACATCTCTCCATGACTCTCTATATGACAAACATCTCTCCATGACTCTCTATATGACAAAAATCTCTCCATGACTATTTGACAAGTATCTCTCCATGACTCTCTTTATGACAAGAATCTCTCCATGACTCTCTTTATGACAAAAATCTCTCCATGACTCTCTATATGAGCTGCCGAGACAAGAAGATGTCCCCGAGTTCTCGCCCTTGATGAAGCTCGTCATTGTCTCCCCTGCTGGCCTCATTAGTGTGGAGATTGGGCCCAATCAGGGCAGCTCTAGGGACCCAGCAACTTTTTCTCTCCCGTCTCTCTCTCTCCCTCTCCCTCCTCTCTCTCCCTCCTCTCTCTCTCCCTCCTCTGTCCTCTCTCTCCTCCTCCCTTTCTCCCTCCCCCTCCCTCCTCTATCTCCTCCATCCTCTCCCCCTCCCTCCCTCCTCTCTCTCTCCTCCTCCCTTTCTCCCTCCCCCTCCCTCCTCTATCTCCTCCATCCTCTCCCCCTCCCTCCCTCCTCTCTCTCTCCTCCTCCCTTTCTCCCTCCCCCTCCCTCCTCTATCTCCTCCCTCCTCTCTCCCTCCCTCTCCCTCTCTCTCTCCCCCTCCCTCCTCTGTCCTCTCCCCCTCCCTCCCTCCCCTGCCCTCTCCATCACCGTGTACGTATGACAGACCCAGTGTGGACAAGATGGCGGCCTACACTAACACAAAACCGTCACAGCAAGGTTCCAGAATATTCTAGGGATGACGAAGTCTGTCGAGCGATGCTAACACGAGGGGAGGCTAGTGAGGCAGTATCATGAACCAGGGGAAACAACTGGCCGCCCTAGAGAAGTTTCTAGCAAACCTTTCACCTGACGACCATTCAAGTGGCGCCAGCCCCAGAGAGCTAATTGCTACACCATGTTCCTTCCAGGGCCGAGAATAGACACACTCAGGTCGTATCTTAAAGAAAAAGGTCATGACCTTTCTAGCTAAAAAGGTCAACATCTTGGTGAGTAGGGCGGGTTCATTAAAGTTTCATCGTCAATAGAAACACTTGCAGACGACAGGTAGGTCACGTGACTGGTCCTAGTGGACGCTGGTCATCTCAGGTAGGGCTGGGGGTGAGGAGGGGGGGGTCAGTGGAGTAAAGTGAA